ACGCATGCACGTCGTCATATGAGCGAAATATTCTCAAGCACGACGTTAAACCTAATTTCACCTCACCTTGCGGTTAAGTCATCACAATACATTTGGGAAATAATATTTATTTTAAAAAATGCAGAAAATGAAAAACGATCTGTCATTTGGTACCTCTTAGATAATAAGTGACGCGCATGAATGGATTAACGAGATTCCCACTGTCCCTATCTACTATCTAGCGATAGTAGATAATATATAAAATATGTTCAGTATAGTATTGGATGACTTGCCGTCATAATCAACATTCAAAGACTTGGATTGCTTGATTTATATTTAGACGGGGAATGTTTTTTAAGGACACCCCCATTTTAATCTTTCAAAAACATTGTATCCAGATATTCAAGCTGGCACTGTTTAATATATATTGGGAGCTGCCACTTGTGTGACCATTAAATATTAATTTTGAACCCTTTGCATAATGCATGAACAAGTCACTGTGAAAACATTAGAATAAGTTATGCCCTTATGATTACGTCATCTTAAGGGGAAAATAAACTCTGTCAAAATTCCAGAAACGCAACCCACTGTCCTCAGATATGAAAAATTCGTTTGAATGAAGTTATTGCTTCAAACTAAATGTTATTCGAATGTATTGAAATTATACACGTAATTAATGAAGATTACCATCAAACAACTGCATTTGTACGCATAAGTGTATTTTATTGCTTATTCCGTCACAACGCATGAAATGACCCTCATGGTGACTTCGCACAAAAACACATGCAAATCATGAAAATGGCAGTTAATGTAGGGGTGTATAAAAGCCCATGTGCTTTCGTATTATATTCATTCATTTGTCGCATGAAAAGCTGTGTGAAAAATGCCACGATTGAGTGCTGCCGACCGAAATATCGCCATTGGTCGTGTTCAAGCCGGAGAAAGTTTTGGAACTGTTGCACGGCACCTAAATGTTCACAAAACAACGATATCCCGACTTTGGAGCCGCTACAACAACTTCAATTTGACCAACGATCGCCCGAGAAGTGGAAGGCCAAGAATCACGACCCCCCCTTCAAGATCGGTACATCCGGGTCCATCACCTGCGTAATCGGCATGCCCTACCAACCGTGACTGCCACACAAATACCAGGTTTGAGGAGAGTGTCAGCTCAAACGATTAGGAACCGTCTGAAAGAAGCGGGTTTACGTGCCTGTAGACCAGTTGTTGGACCTGTACTACGCCCCCTACATCTCCGCCGACGACTCAGGTGGTGCAACAACGTAAGGATATGGACTTTACAAAACTGGAGGCGCATCTGGTTTTCTGATGAATCCCGTTTTCTTTTGCAACATCACGACGGAAGAAAACGTGTGTATAGGAGACGTCATGAACGTTTTGCGCCCATCTGCGTCCGACAGGGGGACAGATTTGGCGGAGAAAGCGTTATGGTTTGGGGATCCATCTCATACAACCAGAAATCAGACTTGGTGATCGTTGAAGGGAACCTGACAGCCCAACGTTACATCAACCACGTATTACAGCCTCACCTTCTCCCGATTATTGACCAACAGACACAGATTTTTCAACCAGACAACGCCCGGCCTCATACTGCACGTGCAACAATGAACTTTCTGCAGAATTCCAACGTCAATGTCTTGCCATAGCCCTCTAAATCACCAGACCTCAACCCTATTGAACACCTGTGGGATACTCTGGGTCGACGCGTACGTCAACGTCAGCCGCCGCCACAGACGCTGCAACAGCTCGGCGTTGCACTGCAGGAGGAGTGGAGAGCCATTCCCCAGGAAAGAATCCGGCGTCTTATCCGTTCTTGTCCAAGGAGATGCCGTGCAGTGATTGCAGCTCGTGGTGCTCATACGAGATACTGAGAAAGACGCCCCCCTGGTGACAAACTGGTGTCTGTGAGATGACTTTTGAAATGACAATTTTAAACATGCCCATCTTGGTTATTATTCTGCCAAATTTCAGACTTCTGTCTTAAATAATAAAAATGCTGTGTCGTCTTAAAACTTCAGATCAAAATCTCTAAAGATTTACAGGGTTGCGTTTCTTTTTTCGACAGAGTTCGTATCCCAATATAATCCCAAATATGCGTTCTAACTAATAAAATTAATGAAAAACATTGATTGTACAGAACGCAACCATCATGTTTCATTTGCTAAAATGCAACCAAAAACATTTGTATGTGTTTTGCACGAATTTTTGCAAAATTGTGATTATTGTCACATGCACCAGCACTTTTCTGACAGAGAGTATAAAACCTGTTTGTTGTGAAGACTGAACAATCACTTGACAGAAATCTAACGAGGAAATCCAAGATTGACGTCGGCGCAACGAGAACGGGCCAAAGGAATGACACCAATGGGTGCTTTCAACAGCGATATTGCAAAGACATTGGGTTGCACAAGACAAACCATAATTCGGCTGTTTAACCGTACCGGTACGTCAGGCCAGACATGTGATCGACCCAGAAGTGGACGTTCCAGAGTCACAACACCCCAAGAGGATTGCTATCTGCGGGTTATTCACCTGCGCAACTGGATGTTGACGGTGACGTCATCAGCAGCCACATCATTGGGTCATCGCGTAAGCCGATTCACAGTGACAAGACGACTTCGTCCTGCTGGCATGTATGGGCCTACCGACCGCTGTGTGGAATGGCCTTGACCTTCCAGCATCGTAGGAACCGTCTGCAGTGGTCATCACTACATCGCTGTTTATTGTTACAATGTCATTTTGCTGATAAAACACGTGTATTGCAGTGTGCTTCAACATACATTTTCCATTTCATCAAAAGGTTTTGTTATTTTTATCTTATTGGAAGAAACACAACCTGTGTACTTTCTTTTGCACATCGGTTTATTACAGGGGACATTAACATCAGATATGACACCAGGTGTTCTAAAACAAGGGTTGGCTTGTCCTATCCGACCGTTGGCAGCCGCTGATGAGTAAGTGAAATTAATTTTACGTGGCACTCAGCAATATTCAAGCTGTAAGGTGGCGGGCTGCAAATAATTCAGTCTGGACCAGACAACCCAGTGATCTACACATGCGTGGGTAACTGAAGATCAATTCTAACCCGGATCTTCACAGATGGACCCGATAATGAATGCTGCCAGCTTCAATTCACGGGTTGACCTCAACCATTCCGAGGCGTAGCTTCCTGGGCCTAGATTTTCGAAGCTGTCTTAGCGCTAAGATAGTCGTAAGTACCATACATTAACAGTAACTTACGACTATCTTAGCGATAAGAGAGCTTCGAAAATCTAGGCCCAGATGTCCAGACACTGTTGGAAGTATTCACATAGCACAGACCCAGTAGTGATTTACACACAATGGATGTGGGGCGGTGGTGTAGCGTAGTGGTTAAAGCGTTCGCTCGTCACGCCGAAGACCCGTGTTCGTTTCCCCGCATAGGTACAATGTGTAAAGCCCATTTCTGGTATCCTCTGCCGTAATATTGCTAAAAGCCGTGTAAAACTCCACTCACTCACTCACTCCACGATATGGCTGAAATATTGCCGATGTGACGATACATTTTAACTCACTCACTCACTCAAGAGCGGAATGAGGGTAGCGATGTGAAGTGGACCTGAGCGGAGCGGAGTGAGTGAGTGAGTGTGTGAGTGAGTGAGTTGTGTTTTACGCGTTGCTTTCAGTAGTATTACCCTATTCCACGGGGGAGGGCAGCATGGAATGGCTGCACACATTGCATATAACCCGGGAGGTGAACTCGGTTACGGAGTGACGTACATGCACCTCAACCACAGGGCTACTTAAAATGAGATTTACAAGTTACCCGTGTCATTGCTTCCATCATCGTCTGATTTAGACTCGTAAAGGCTGCCGTGATATTACTGGAATATTGCTCATGGTCGCTGGCAAATCTAGCTCCAATGGGGAACACCAAACATGGTCTTCATAGGTTGTCCCCATGCTGGGAATCGTTATGGTCTTCGGCGTGACGAATGAGCCAATGCCTGATTTCAATTTACCGTTCCACCGATTTGGGAAGGCTTCCATGTGGAGGGCATTTCCGAATTTAACGTGTTATTGACGAAAATTATATCTGATGCAACTGCCCAAGCTGATGGTTACATATGTTCTCGTGTTGTTGTTTCATGTGAACAATTGACTTGCCTTTGTATGCGTTTTTGACAGGTGAATCTATCCCGCCCCACAGTCTCAACAATTCAATTGAGTGAGTGAGTGAGTTTGGTTTTATGCCGCTTTTAGCAATATTCCAGCAATATCACGGCGGGGGACACCAGAAATGGGCTTAACACATTGTAACCATGTGGGGGAATCGACCCCAGGTCTTCGGCGTGACGAGCGAACGCTTTAACCACTAGGCTACCAATCGCCCCAAGAATTCAATTGACTTGCCTTTGCATGTGTTTTTGTTTTTTGACAGATCACGACGACACGGCGCGGGGGGTAGGGGGGGTGGGGGTGGGGTTCGGCTGCCTGTCCGCGAGCACATGACAGCTGGTTATGATTCATAAACTCAAGCTTATGCCAAGGTCGGAAACTCACTAACGTAAGAGGCGACTAACGGGATCGGGTGGTCAGGCTCGCTGGCTTGGTTGACACATGTCATCGGTTCCCACTTGCGCAGATCGATGCACATGCTGTTGATCACTGGATTGTCTGGTCCAGACGCGATTATTTACAGACCGCCGCCATATAGCTTGAATATTGCTGAGTGCGGCGTAAAACTAAACTCACTCACTCACTAACGATTTACCCTTTTGTAAAAATGTCCATGCTTATGGAAAGGGCTTCACCTAATATGTTTTTTAGACTCTACATCACCTTGCGAACATCACATTATCAACAGGGGCGGTCACGCCGAAGACCCGGGTTCGATTCCCCACATGGGTACAATGTGTGAAACCCATTTTTGGTGTCCCCCGCCGCGATATTGCTGGAATATTGCTAAAAGCGGCGTAAAACCATACTCATTCACATTATCAACAATGACAACAAAAAACTGTAATTTAAAGTTTTATTTTGTAATGAAGTACAATTGTACAGGTGTTAGAGTTGTCATGGCAACGATATACAGAACGAGGTTGCCATCAAATTACCATAAGATCGTATATAAACATATATCTAGTAGCCCGGCGTCTCGTCTGTCAAGCTGCCGCCGACAAACATACACATAATAATAATAAATAAACCTGGTTTCGGCATTTACACCTCTCAAATATCTCAAATATCAAATATACGAAATGCTACAATTATAGCTTTCTTACAATCCATTATCGTATTTATTACACATGATTATAATTTGATGATGATTATGAATTCAGCTTAACCTCACAGTCTAATTATTATAAAAATATTTTAAATGATTCATACACGGGACAACCTAAGGTGCATGTACTCTTTGGCATTATTTCGTACTGATTTTAAATTATCTAAAAAAGCACGTCTGGATGATTATTCAGATCGTTTTGAAATGCCTATTCTTAGTCCTTTATCATTCTCTCTAGACTTGATTCTAATTCTAAACACGTACCGTGGACAATGTCAGGGTGTGTCTTTCTAAGCTACATGTCGTAAATGCCTGTGTTTTTGTCTACAAAGAATCTGAGCTAATTTATTACTGAACTGAAGTTTCTCGATTCAACGTCCGTCTTGAAGTCAGCATTTTCACAGAATATTTCTCCGAAGTATCTACCATTGATCACAAAATCTAAACAAGTTATCCAATCATATGACATGGTTGAATACATGCGCATCAAGGTACTTTAAATGGACAAATTGACATCTCATTGGATGCGTCCATTATTTAACGACCAGGGACCATTACGCCATCAAGACCTTTATATCGAAATCGGACTTCACATGTCTTTACATTTATTAAGACACTGGGTGGAGCAGAGAGTGGGAAACTCCTTTCCTGCCTTCCACATCTTACAGAAATTCCGAGGGCATCTAGAAATAAACCTATACCTTGAGATATGAACTTTGACCTTGAGACATGAACTTTGACCTTGAGATATGAACTTTGACCTTGAGGTATAGACACCAGTTTCCGGTATTGAAACTACTAAGCAATACTCCCAGTGTTTCTAAGGTAAGCCAAGACGGCTGAGGTAGAGAATTTGTCGAAGACTTAATGGAGTTTATTTCAAATATATCATCCCCACACGTCAAGAAGTTCGTAAGTAGTGAGGACGTGTTTTTTTTCAAAGTTCATTTTGGTATTTTCATGAATAACGAACACTTACAGAGTGTTGTAACAATAACAATGAAAACAACAACAGTCATTACACAACCTACCAAGGGAACTGTCTACCTCTATATCCGTACCAACTATACGTCATGGAAGGCTGTTGCTAGGCAATGCGTGGTCACGTGATTCCGTAATCACGTGATTCTTCAGCCATTGCATCAATGAGAAAATGGCTTCTCTTGAACACCGTTTCAACATATTGACACCATTAGATCTACTCCATGACCATTCTTGTTCCGTTGTGACGTCATAAATTTATGACGTCACTCGTTGCCAAGCAACATGAAAGTATCCCTGGTAACAATAACAATCGCGGGATGAATTGCATAGATACTATACACTCACTGAATACAGAGGTATGATTTATACAATATTGGGTCAGTCCGAGTGAGGGGAAGACCTCTATTTCAAGCTGTAATATTTACACTGAAAATAAATAACTGGTGTAGTCTGAACTGCCTGAGCTCATACAACCATACACCGAGAAAAGAATCAGTGAACCGGTTTTCTTGAAAATGTCACTATCAATAATTTCCCAGCACTGACTTGAAATTGGGACATTTGTCATTTGAAGAGCAGGATTTTCAGTCCGGAACTGGAGTGGGAAGATTCAGATAAACCGTTTTAGAAATTATTTCCAAATTTTGACATGTTTATGACTTCAGATACCATTTAATAACATCATTAAATAACATCAAGTGATATTTTCCGCCTGAAGACATCAAGAACCTTCGGAAAATTCAAATTTTAGCGGTCTATCTCCAATCGTCACCACTCGTCTCTTTCCGTAATGGCCATTCGGTTCGTTCCGGAAAAAAACGAGGGGGTTCAAATAACACCAGCCTCCCCGAAGCTCCTCCCATTACATTCGTTTCGTGACAGTTTTATCTTCTAACATGTCCCGAAAATAATTCTTTTTGTAAAACCGGTTCGGTGATAATTTTTCTGGGCGCCAAGTACTAGGGACACTTAAATCGTTATATACAAAGTCAAGATTACTGGCAGTGCTATGAAATTACAACAAAATGAGGTTCCTTCTAATTTTTCAATATGAAATGCGTTACTATGGAAACGATGGCACTGCTTTGGATGAACATACATGCCTGTACTTGTTTCATAATATCTTTAAGGGGTCGCAGAGGAGCAACAACATAACCTGGATGGGACGTTGTTTTAGGGGAAAGTCCAAAACGTGTAAAAATATTTCTTAAAGAGCCACAAAATTAACTTTTGATCATTGACAAATGTTATCATAAAATATTTATGATAATTAAAAACATTTCTCATCCCTTGTAATCAAGACTTATGAGAATGTTGGGACTGTCAAAGTTCTGATAATTTCTAGTAATGATTTTTGTTTTAGAAATTTTAAAATAAACTTCAATGATGTTGCTCCACTGAATCGAAACTGTAAGTAACATTGAATACGGTATCCACTCGTCGTAGACGACGTCGTAAATGTGTCCTCTGACATCATCATCCTGCCTTGCACAATATCACAAAAGTCGCGCTTCGCTTCTGTTTGTGCAACATCTTTTCAAGCAACGTCGACCTTACCCTTCCGTCAACTGTCTGCAGAGGGACAGGTTATTGTCAGTATGTGAAATATGTTTTTTTCCAACACGATACTTAATTAAGTGAATCTACGGTACGGCTGGTTTAGAAGCGTCTTGGAACAATCATCGCGATGTGATGCACTGGAGGAGACCTGCTTTCAGTCACTTGCGAGCTGATTTACAAACCATCACGGCTTGAGAAATAATGACGCCTCCCTTGTAGCAAGGGAGGTAAGCCAGCACTTCCGTTAAGCAACCTCCGCACAGAAATGTTTATGCCGGTCGCCTGATTTGAACACACTCACTATAAACATCACGATCCGTAGAGATCACAAAAGAACAGTCTTTACCCTCTTTCTTCGTCATAGAACGTCAGTCAGCATTATCACCATTGTCTCTGATGTCACGATGACGTCATAATGACGTCACATTAACTGAAAACTTGAACCTCGCACAGAACCGCACTGAAGAGTCTACTCCAAGAATTGGGGACCCCCCAAGCCTCGATCAGAACATAACGCCCAATATGGCGTCGGATGCACTGGAGAATGAGTTTCTTCTCGAACAGAGCGTTGTTGAGGCTGCTGACGTAGTTGCACATGTTGCCGGATGCGTAGGAGTCGTCTTCGTCTTTGAGTTTTTCGTCCACGTACACAACCAACTTGTCCAGATTCTTCATGTACTCTTGGAAGGACGTGCCTTCTTGTCTCTCTGCAACAAATAGGAGAAATCAGTAACCATGACAACACATATAGGCTATTAGATGTTATTTCACCCAGCACTCCTAGTTTCCAGAGAAGCAGTTTTCCGCGAAGTTTCAGACAGGGCTCCACCATCATACTGGATAGCCGCCACACATACATAAAAATGAACTGATGTCTACATAGAGCATCAGATTCATGCGAACGTGTAGTTCACGCAACTTATTTCACTTTGCAAACGATGGGCAACGTTTCCGAAATAAAAGGCCAGAGATCTTAATTGCTCAAAAATGAGCAATAAAGACGTTAATAACTGGACGTTAATAACTAGACGTTAATAACCCATGCAGTGTGCAAAATAGTATACATTCTAGCTATGTCTGAAAGCCCACAAAATAATTCACTAACCCGAAATTTGAATGTAGAAACTAAGTAAAAGATTACAAAAAGGTGAAATACCATAAAAAACCAATGACCCCATGAAAATTCACAAGCCAGTCGGGCCGGTGACTGGAGATTTACTGGTCCGAAATGATTTTTACTAGCCACGGTCTAGCGGGCCAGTGGCTATTTCGCACACTGAACCCATGGGGACATTACACGAAGCGACAATGGCGTTGATTCGATCGTACCGCTTATACTCATACAGTGTTTAGGGGGAAGGGGCACTGGTATTTTAAGGACATTTCTACATGACGATTCAGACCACACCCCTTCCAAATGACTGACTGACTGACTGAGTTTAGTTTTACGCCGCTTTTAGCAATATTCCAGCAATATCGCGGCGGGGGACACCAGAAATGGGCTTAACACATTGTGCCCATGTGGGGAATCGAACCCGGGTCTTCGGCGTGACGAGCCAACGCTTTAACCACTAGGCTACCCCACCGCCCCCCTTCCAAATGAAGCCAACAGGTGCACAATGTGTACTTTTACTACACATACAGTCAATTAATCAATAATGACTTCTTTAAGAGGCATTTTAGAAGTTGCAAATATGAAGGAAAACCAAGTTCTAAGGATAGTCAACTTCTTTATTGCAATGACTTCGGTGTATACTGATTGCTTGTTTGATAACGGTGTTAGTGCCTACGCCGAAACGTCGCACTCATTGCAATAAAGAAATTGACTATCCATACAACTTGGTCTTCCTTAATCAATTATGGACAAACAGATTAGTTTATGTATTAGCATAAAATGAGATTTAACCTTAATGGGTACCTCATCTTTATCTAGTAGATCTCGATCTCTTTTAACTAAAAAAAAGAGCACCTGATGAGACGTTTTCTTGTACGGAATGGCCTCAAGATCGGAATGAACTTTTCAACTCCCGGATAATTTCTGTCTCCATCTTAGACATAAACCAGCCTTTAAAATTGGTATGTGTTTGAAGATGTGATACATTGCCCCTTAAGTCAGTGAGCCGGATTAGAGTATGTGCTTTCTGTAGGGGGCAAACTCGCGTAAAATGTAATCCCGAGACGTTGGATAATATTAAGCAAACAAACGAAAAGTTAAACATAGTTTCATTTTCTAACGGGATATTTAAAATGGCTTTTATAAACAAGACTTCACTAGAGCGATCATCAATGTAGGTGTCGTACGGTAAAACGTCCGGTTTCAGGTAAAATAAGGAATGTTAAAATTGTTCGGATTTTAACTAGAGTTATCTTTCCTTGTCAGTATTGAAATGGCTATGGCGGCTTTAAATACTCGGGTCAAAAGGATCAAGGAACATATAAAATATTATTCAGTTTTTTTCCTTTGATTTTACACAGAATAATCGGGCGGTGGGGTGGGGGATTTGCGGTGGCACTGAAGAAGTGGTGCAACTTCTGAGATTTTGGCGAGGAACCTCTAGCAGGATTCATTCACGAGGAACATATTCAGGATCATAGGATAGAAATTAGTCTGTCTCACAGTCCCTGAACCACATTATTTTCTCTAATGTTAAGCCCTCTCTGCAGTGCTAAAGCCCTAAATAAAGCAAGTCTATATTTCCTCAGGTTCTGAATCTCTGGTCTCCCCGGGTCTCCTTTTCAATTTAAATGGGCTTGTTTGTTACTATCAAACTTATATATATATTCAGAGACTAAGCATTAGTCTAGATAGAAATATACTTATGTAGGATATAAACATAGACTAAGGCTTAGTCTCTGAATATATATAATTTTGATAGTAACAAACAAGCCCATTTATATTGAAAAGGAGCCCTATGGAGATCTAGACTTGCTTTATTTGGGGCTTTAGCACTGCAGAGAGGGCTTGGCAGTAGGGAAATTAATGTGGTTCTGGGACTGTGAGACAGACTAGATATAAACATTACTGATTGACATTTTAAGAGAAGTAATGAGAAGAAGAAATGTCTACATTACAGACAGGCTTTACTGAAGGCAGTCCCTATTGTTCAGACGACGTCATGCAATCAATGTGTGACGTCATCAACAATACATGACGTCATATCGTTTTGTATTTCTCAACAATGAAAGACTGTGACGAGTTATGGTATCAGTCGACGAATCAGCACTGAGATTCCCTATAACGCAAAAGTGCAAACATAGGAAGGTTATTACACGAGATATTTCAACACTTATATATAACAAAATCAGATTCAAAAGAACGCAGAAACATCAATAAACAGTTCACGTCACTGCGTGCAAATTAATCCTACCAGCACACTTATTTAACGACGTTAAAAAATCAAACCATTTATCAAGGCTCAGCTTCCTGACACGGATACGTCAGAAACAATTAAGGACATTAAGGTCCAAGATCTTTGATGCAATCTAGATGACCTGTGGGCAAGAACTAATGGACATTAACAGATCGCCGTGTTTACTAGTCTTTCGTCTCGTGGCAGTGACAAATTACATAAGCAGTTATTTCATCACCATGCTCGGGGGGCTCCGGCTACCAATGAAGTGATCACAGGATTAAACGGCCAAGACTGTCAGGTGTGCTAAAGTTTACTTAAGATCCATATCACGACAGGTAAACCGGTCACCGCTTGACCAGGCCGACAAATTACTAAATTGAACTGATCAGTCCGCGACATTAATCCGAAAACAATTAATTTGTCTGGGGATTGTTTCTTTCCCTTTTAAAATGTATTAATTTAATTCACTGACCCTTGTCTGACCCCTGTAACAAATGAAATGATCATCCACGTAAGTAGGCCCCCATGCCTAGAATCTCCACCCGCCATGCTACCGGCGCCATTGTACATCCAGGGGCGTGGTCACTTCATTAAGGTGGGGCTCAATACAGGTGGGTTTTCACCAAAAAAAATTATATTTTTTTTAAGATTGTGCTTCAAAACAGAGCAATATTTGTTCTTGTTTAGACTCACATAGCCTGTTCATTCAGCGTGTGCATAACCTTCCCGCTGATTAATCATTGTACGTATAACATGAACTTAGGTAGACAAGAGGTTAAAGCGTTCGATGCCCCACATAGGTTCAAAGTTTGAAGCCATTGTCACTCGATCACATGAAAAACACTGGGATAATTTGAGATTACCGCACATGAGTGCGGTGTCTATTGTCTGAACGGCCATAGACCCAAATATATAAAGCCCATACCATACAGTGTAGGGTAGTTTACAAATAGATTTACATGTTTCATTAGGCCATCCGTATTTACCATTCCGTGTCAACTCCACCCTTAACAGAAGAGAGCGGGCGGCGAAAAAATAATTAAAAATGAAATAAAATGTTCTTCGCTTTTTGCGTAAAGGAGAACATTTTACAATATACAAAATACTGAAGATAAAAAACAAGCTGATCTATCATTATTATGAGAGTGCTGGGGAAGAGTATTTTGTATTCACACTAGGACTTAAATGTCCGATAGCCTAGTAGTTAAAGCGTTCACACGTCACACTGACGGGTTCGATTCCCACATGGGTACAATGTGTGAAGCCCATTTCTGGTGTCCCCACCGTGACATCGTTGGAATATTGCTAAAAGTGGCGTAAAATTAAACTCACTCACTCACTTAAATGTCCACAGCAGGGAAAATTGAGGTAAGAAAACCTTTTATTGTTTCACGTCGGAATGAAACTTTAAGGCGGGCGGGAGATCGGAAACACAGAAAATACTGCGGACAGCCTTAAGTGCATTTCTCTTTTGAAGGCATACTTCAAATACAACGTAACAGATTTTACATCTTGATAAATTGTGTTTGCCGTAAGGCGAGTGAATTATTAGATGACAGTCGAATTACTTACAAGTCTGGTATGTATTTCTTCCAATTGTCTCCAAGGGATGGCAATATATATAGAGAAATTATACAGATCTTTGATATCGTTTAGAGTACAATATGTAAATATTTTCTCACTTTTGGAATTCGGGGGTGTCTCCAGTATCAAGATTATAAATCCATATCGAACACGTTACAAAATATATCCGCAAAACTATACAGATTTAAGAAACAGAAAACTTACAGATACTTTCACACTGACTTACGATAGTCGTAGCCTTAGACAAACAGCTAGTCTCTTACATATTTTAGAGGAAAAAAACCCAACAATTCCTAAATTATAATCATTAAATATAATAAAAAGGAAATTGTGGAAATCTAGACTTGCCACCTAATCTAGACTTGCAGGGGATTTCTTGGATATATTTGTTTCTACAAGTTACTACGAGTTCAACAAATCTCCGCTCTTACGAGGTACATTAACACGATAGTGCCAAGTTTCAAATTAACCCCGTGTGCCCACTCCTCGTGGCCCTCCTAATGTAGCCTAACTGCATGTATAATGTATCCATTACCGTTAGCCAATAAACCCCAGGTGGTTTCCACGCCCGGCTCCAGCAATATGGCTTGGAGTAATCGAAGAATGTATACACCCAATAGCTTTTACGTTATAGGGTGGCATTCGTGACGTTCCATTGGGTATTGAATCTTCCGAATTCATGTGGTCTCGGTGCCAAAGGCAAGACATTAAAATGGTAATAGGAGTCGGTCTCGGTTCTTTTGGATTCTGAGTTTTGTGGAATATTTTGTATGATCGGTTTGTTCGCACTAGCGATAAGGGCCACGGTGTACACGTGCGGGTGAATAGGCGAACGGGTTGATTGTAAGTGGCCTGAAAGGATATGTGTTAATGTACGAAAATGAAAAGTATATTGATATTTATTAGTTTTTGAAACGTTGCGAAAACATAAATCTTAGTATTAATGTGAAATCGACAGAACAAAATATCACAAATATTTATTGAACTTTCTTTGAGTTTGGGACAGTTGTTATATATGATCGACTTGTTTACACTAACGATATGTCCCACTGCGTGCACGTGTGGGTAAATAATGTTTGTTGTTCAATGTTGACCTGAAAAATATGTTAGCTTAATGGCCTTGGTCTGTGAATAAACAATCTGGACTAGATAGTCCAGTGACTGACGATATAGAAATAGGTAATTTGATTTAAATTAAATGAGTGAGTGAGTTTGTTTTTATGTCGCTTTTAGCAATATTCCATCATTATCACGGCGGGGGAGACCATCATGTGATCATGTGAACAATTGACTTGCCTTTGTATGCGTTTTTGACAGGTGAATCTATCCCGCCCCACAGTCTCAACAATTCCATTGAGTGAGTGAGTGAGTTTGGTTTTATGCCGCTTTTAGCAATATTCCAGCAATATCACGGCGGGGGAGACCAGAAGTGGGCTTCACACATTGTACCCATGTGGGGAATCGAACCCGGGTCTTCGGCGTGACGAGCGAACGTTTTAACCATTAGGCTACTCCACCGCCCGATTGAAATTAAAGATACCAGAAAGACTGCTTACATATAATGAAAATGAAATGTATATTGATACTTATTCTGAAAAGTTACTAAAACATTACATTTTGTAAACTCGAAAACCAAAAAAATATATAAACTTTCTTTCGATTCAACAGAAATTAAGTTGTAAATGATCTAAAACAATCATGATACGGTCCCTTACAGATGCCCGATCGACAGTCAGATAGTAGGATAAACCTCACACGCAACCATGACGACAGGAACGTCTGTATTTACAACATCGTCAACACACACAACCAGCGCACTCTGTTGGTTGTTTAAGTCTACGCTTTGAAGGCTGGGTCCCCGTTCAACAGCCGACCCCTGGCTAATGACAACAGGGATGAATTTTATTGCTGTGGGGTCGGGGTACTTGGCGAACGGGGTGCAGCGAGGAATGCAGTGTTTACACTGCATGCGGGCCGAATCAGGCAACTTGATTTAGCATGCAGCGTGTTTACCTACATCTGCATGTTTAGGACAACACCTAATGGAAAGCACTGTATCATTAGAAAATATACACAAACGTGATGTAAAGGGAGGGAGTCATTAGATGGGTTACGTCCGTCTTAAGCAAGAGATAACAAACACACGGAGAACTTCCTATATTATCTTCCTAGGTGCTATGTACACTACTGCACAGAATAACCTTCCCCTCAGCCGCGACGCGAATATTTCGCGTTAGCGTCGCGGTCGTTGGGAATGCGAACGCACTGTTAATAAAACAAATTCAGTTCGCGCTTCTGTTGCAATTTTATTTTATTTTATTTTATTTTTTTTGGGGTGTGTGTGGGGGGGGTGTTGTGTATTATTTTGGCTAGTGCTGCACCATGTGTTTTGAAGAGAGCGATGTTCAATGTTGAGGGGTCGGTTCTGTCAGCAGGAAAATATAAGTTTTTTTTGAGACCTATACCGCTTCAACATTCACAATATGGTTAAAGAGGCTACCGAAGCTGCAAAAGGCCACAGAGGCTGCAAATACCATTGTATATAACTACCAAAGCTTCAACTAAACCGTAGATGAAGAGTTTACCATATTCCTACAATAGTTCCAATGATGGCCGGTGATGACCCTACGATAGTGTTGATGACAGGATCTACGCACACTTGTTGATGATGGTGCGCTCGCAGTGTTCTGGACCAAGGCCTCCGTCGAAGGTTAGTTCTAATGACTCTACCATACTCTTACCTCTTTCTCAGACCACCCATCTCACCATCTGAACCGAATCAGGGTCTTAAGTGTCATTTTAAAACAGTTAATCTGTCCCGGTCTGTCTATGGTCCTACCTACTCCATAATGTATTTGCAATGCACGCCAGCACCAAAAACACACGCACGTGCAGAACCTCCTCGCCCACGACCACGCTCGTTCTTGTACACAAATCTGCCAGGAGTTATACAACATCACCTACGGTCTGGGGCCGTGTATCGTGCACCTGCATATACTGTCCCACCCTTATTTCAGGACTGAATCACGGAAATACGCTCAAACATTGCTGCCACCAAATAGCGCGTCTTTAACCCACGTGGACAAAATAGTAGGGCGATTGTTGCGCATGCTGTCGGACACCCAACCTTTCATAAAACATTGAGTGAGAGAGTGAGTGGAGTTGTACGCCGGACTTAACAATATTCCAGCTATATGGCGGCGGTCTGTAAATAGTCGAGTCTGGACCATACAATCCAGTGATTAACGCCATGAACATCGATCTACACAATTGGGATACGATGACATGTGCCAACCAAGTCAGCGAGCCCGACCACTCGATGCCGTTAGTCGCCTCTTACGACAAGCAGGGGTTACTGAAGATCAATTCTAACCCGGACCTCCACGGGCCTTTCATAAAATTCAGTAATAGGCATATGAATGGATCACTGAAAGATCAGTAATTACACCAGGTCTTCGCAAAAAGGATAAGCGTATCGTTTCCTACCAAAACACACCTATGCCCACCGAAATATTCCACACGTTGACCTAAAGCTGGGCCCTACAATTCAGAAAGTTCGGTTTAACAAAATCCTGTTTAACGAGTGTCCGTTCACGAAAACAGGAGCACAAGCACAGCACTAGGTCTCATCTGTAATGTTTGGACTGAAGTACAATTCGGATTAACGAGTGTCCGCTTAACAAAACATAAAATTACCAGGACTCATTTGTAATGGTTGAACTGTGAGGTGATCGTATTTAGGAGGTTCTCTTATACAAGTCGTAATGTCATGAACTCCCATATAACGTCACTCTGCTATTGGTCAAACATGTCGACATCCACGCACCTGCCACGCTTGCCACCGTATGTGTTGTCGTCCCCACCCACATCGGCTAAATGGGTTTACTATGAAAATACCCCCGCAATTGTCACTTAATGAGCACAGGCTGGCCATGGTACTTAAATCTGGCAGTATTTGAGCAGCTCGTTCTGTTTATTTTCCCGAGTAAGGCGATATGGAGACAGTTTTGGTGTTAAACACATAGATGACGTCTATACAATAAGACATGAATATCACAAGGTAGAATCATACAGGGCTCCCTGAAGATAGACGTAAAACCAACAGCATGTGTTGGAGAATACTCCTTATGAAAGCAATATATAGCAGCCAGATGGTAAGGAGTGTACGGAAGGAGTGTACGGAAGGGGTGGGGAGGGGGTTAGGGGGAGTGCGAGCGTGGGTGAGGGGTGGAGCATGTTGACTCTCGCTCTATCGGAATGTGTCAAGAGGTAAAGATACACATTTTGAAACTTGTCGCGAAAACAGACCTGTGTATGTAGCGTGACCCCTGACACTGTCACCGGGAGGGCGACATGGAGACATATGCACTTGACAATCCAAATTTGTTACAACAAACAGTTTGTTTTTCATGCCTTTAACTACCGTTTGTTTGTTTGTTTTTTGCATAACGCCGCCACGCTCACCAATATTCCAGCCATATGGCGGCGGTCTGTAAAAACCCCGGAGTTGATAATCCAGTGATCAACAGCATGAGCATTGATCTACGTAATTGAATTACGATGACATGTGTCAACCAAGTCCGTGAGCCTGACCACCTGATCCCGTTAGTCGTCGCTTACGAAAAGCATGGGTTTCTGAAGACCAATTCTAACCCGGATCTTCTCGGGTACCTATAACTACTACAGAAGTATCAAGTCTTAACTACGTGTCACTCTTACCTCCTTTATGGTTCGTAAACAGTGGATCCCCACTAGCTATCCGTTTTTCAAGTGCTGAAAATAAACAAATAAACACCATTACCAAAATTATTGACAATTAATAAAAATACGTGTCTTCTTGATAAATTCGTAATAAAATGGAAAATCAAGTCTTGATAGGGGATAAACGGTTTGTGCGTCATCGGTTTAGAAAAAAATCTTTATGGTGGCAGTCTGTAAATAATCGAATCTGGACCAGACAATCCAGTGATCAACATCATGAGCATCGATCAACGTAATTGATACGATGTGTCAACCAAGCCAACGAGCCTGACCACCCGATCCTGTTAGTCGCCTCTTACGACAAGCATGGATTACTGAAGATAAATTCTAACCCGGACCTTCACGGGTATCGAAATAAAAGACTCAGCAGGCATAAAGTCAGGGTAAGGTCACGGTGACGACACAATTTGGCAACTGACCTTTTCGTCCTTGCCACGTGTAGATAATGACTCCAGCCACCGCTTGTTTGTTTCCAAGGTCAACGGTCCACACGGGGTTGTCGCCATACAGGTTGTCAAGGATGGTGCAGCTCTGGAAGTTAATGTCAAGGTTACCGTCCACCGCACGTGACGCGTGACCTTCCGCGACCTGGTTCCGGATGTGACGTTTGTAATGACGTTTGCTGTTGATCCAGGATTCCTTCTTGAAGGCAAGGTTCTCAACTGAAAAAAAGGAATGTTCAGTTAAAGCTGGATTTTATTTTTCACATAAATGGCCAAAACAGTTTGCGAAGTGTTATCAGCGAACCCCAGATTCCTTTGCAAAAAATTACATCAACAAGTCTTTTGAATGAATACATGCACGGCAAACTATAATTTTGTTCTTGCAGCAAATCTTTGAACGCCTCTGATTTTATCCCAGTCAATAGATGAGGGCACCGAGAACAAAGAATGGGCGTGGTGTGTGAATGTGAATTTACGCGGCATTCCTTCTCGGTTTGTAATAATGGGTAGGGCAAACTCGTGGTTGATAGTATGAGCACAGCGCACGCCGTCAAACCACGAAGGACACATCACCAACAAGGCCACCGATCTTAGCACCCGATCTTCCAGTCACAAACGGGTTTAACATGGGGCGCTGGGTGCATGCTATGGGCCTTGCAAGAAGGGCGCTTTTCATATTGGTACGTGGGAGCCTGTTTTCTCCCTTATAACAAAGAGAGAGTGACTGAGTTTTGTTTTGCGCCGCACTCTGCAATATTCAAGCTATATGGATGCGGTCTGTAAATAATCGAGTCTGAGGGTGTTCATATGGGTGGTAGGGGGACTTTATTGTCCCCTATCATATAACAAAGAGGGTGTTCATAGGGTAGTGACGGGACATGATATGACCCCTACAACAATAAGGTATTCATTCATACGTGTGCTTGGGGAATATTTTGATCCAAGTTGAACGCGGTGAGACCATGTGGTACTAAACTCGGACTATCAGCGCGGCGGACGAACGCACGAACCACTGGGCTACTATGTATTGAATTATATACAGATATGTTTCTTTTGTCAAGACGTAATACTTACCGCAGGGTGTGTCGTCATTAATTCTCATAAAACCGCTGCTGCATACCCCTGTGATGAAAACAAACTCCATTAGAACGTTTTACGTCACGTCTACAGCCTATAAGACAATGTTATTCTATATAGAACAGTGAATGGTGAGTTATACAGTATCTAAAGTGTCGGTTCCTAAGTGATGTGTTAACTTTGTTGTAAACGTCACACTCGGAAATACAATCCTGCTACACGACGTCGGTCTGTAAATAATCAAGTCTGGGTCAGACAATCCAGTGATTGACATAATGAGCGTCGATCTACGCCGTTGGGAAACTATGACAAGCATCAAACAAGTCAGCCAGTCTGACCACCCGATCCCGTTAGTCGCTCTTACGACAATCAGTTATCTTACGACAATCAGAGTTATCTTACGACAATCAGAGTTATCTTACGATTATCAGAGTTATCTTACGACAATCAGAGTTATCTTACGACAATCAGAGTTATCTTACGACAATCAGAGTTATCTTACGACAATCAGAGTTATCTTACGACAATCAGAGTTATCTTACGACAATCAAATTATCTTACGACAATCAGAGTTATCTTACGACAATCAGAGTTATCTTACGACAATCAGAGTTATCTTACGACAATCAGAGTTATCTTACGACAATCAGTTATCTTACGACAATCAGAGTTATCTTACGACAATCAGTTATCTTACGACAATCAGAGTTATCTTACGACAATCAGGTAGTTAACCAGAATGTCGGTAATACCAGGCATATTTCACTCACACCTAAGTCATGAAACACTACTCAATTTGACAGTTTTGTAGCATATGTCAATTAAGCATTCGCCCACTGAAGCTGTTAAAAGCCATGTTTTTTTAGAAAGCGCTTGTAAAACACTTGAGATTATTACACAAGTGTAATAGGATTTCAAAGACAATGTTCATTTGCCATTTATTTAATTTTGAGAATTTGATTTTAAAGATAATAAATAAACAGGTGGCCACTTACTTTCCACGCTGAAGTAACCAGGACACCAACAGTTTTATTATACATGCTATACTGTATGCTTAAAATGGCAATTTAATCCTTCAAACGCTAAATCTGCTAACGCCTTCATGTGATTGACAGTCCGGTGTCGACACATATATCAAACTAGCAAATATCAGGATTACTTGTGATATCAAAGTAGGATCAGATTACGTAAATGTTTGAAATCTTAGAGCCAGTTCAAGTGCGTGAAATGCCCGGAGATTGGCGGGGATTACCGATGTTTGACGAATGTAAGTGGCAGTCTGACAATGATCGATTCCCAGTTGATATAGAACGCGCTGGAAGTTCTATCGCATGGCGGTTTAATACATGCTATTCAGCTCTCAGAACGGAATTTATTGAGGGTGGACCACCAAATATAACTAGAAAAACATGGTAGAAAGGTTTCGATATGAATACCACAGACGAAACGACAACACGGTTATGTTATGAAAATATTAAACATAATATTCATAAAATGCATAATCAAAATATTCAAGCTGAAAGATCAATATACGGCATTCCTTCATCAGACATACTTTCAATATAATTTCAGTGAAGTAACTTCAATTTTGAAATTTGAGCGGTATGATAATAAAGAATGCGAAATGAAAAAAATACCAAACGAACCTTAAGTACGTCAGCAGATACCTCTGATAACGCGATAGCGAGAAACGGGATATGCTATTCCCCTAAGACTTGTTTATATTGAGTAATCCAACTCTCAGTCGTACCCGGGACAACACAAACGAGAAGTAGTTCGAGGAAGGTAGTATCAGTCGGGAAAGATCGGATAATAACAACTTGTTGTAAGGAAAATATACTATTCACACTTTGCTAAAGATCAAATCATGGATTCAACAGAAAACTATTATGTGTGGTCAAATTTGGTTTAAATATATAAGCTTATTGTAAGCATGGACCCTAGGTTTCAGTATGTCATTGCATCTTGTGGATCCCATACCTGCTATTGACAGGTGTTGTGTACTTATCAATGACTCGTTCCATGATTTGCAAAATGGTTGATTGGTGTCATGAAAAAAAGATTCACGGTTACTCATGTATCAGGTGCATAAGGTTAGATTAAAATGACTGTTTGCCTAAAGAGATGTTACTATATTATTATTTATCCAGTTTTAAATGGATACAATTTCAAATTATAAATCTACGTTTAAGTAAAGTTGTGAATTTTTGTGATCCTTAGCAAAGTGTGAGTAGTAGTGAGTGAGTGAGTGAGTATGGTTTTACGCCGCTTTTAGCAATATTCCAGCAATATCACGGCGGGGGAGACCAGAAATGGGCTTCACACATTGTACCCATGTGGGGAATCGAACCCGGGTCTTCGGCGTGACGAGCAAACGCTTTAACCACTGAGCTACCCCACATCCCCTGTGAGTAGTATATTACAACTAGCGTGAGTATTCATAACGCGAGTATTCACCGTTTAAGTACTATATATTGTGAAATAGACAATAACGTAACAGTTACAAGAGGTGGTTGGTGAGATATTTGTATCACTATTGCTTCCACAGGTTGGTAAACTAAAAACCGACAATAACCGTTGGATAAAGCCAACGTTATGAAAACGTAACAAGGCTAAACACAGCCGTCTAAACACTTCAAAATGTTGCGATGACCGTACTCAAACATCCCTGTTGAATACCGGTGTAGCAATGTCTCGTTTGTTTCATTTTCAGCCCGTAAACATGAGTGTATACTTTCTTTTGAACGTCAGTTTAGTCTGTGAAATGTCCACACGTAACATTGCACCTTACATAATGACACGAAAAGTATTTAAAATGCTTTTTAAATTATTCTTTAACCTACACAGTTACATGTAGCAATATACTGAAATTTAAAAAAACTACAACACACAACAAAAATAAAAACAAACAAGAACAAACAATACCCCGTTGTTGGTTTTATCAAGTGTTTCATTTTCAATAGTAAATATCAACATTAGCAATGTTATATTACTTGAGGTGAATTGTACTGTCTCTAAGTCATTATCAAAAGCTCTAAGTCTTTTTTCTACCTGCTCTATTAAATATCCCTTTATTTAGAACATTTAAAATTTTAAAAAAAATCTTCTGACATGTGATTCTTTCAAATAAATAATTTGCATTCTTGGCCCAAAATTTCAAACATAGTAGGGGACATACGGTTGCAAAATCATTTCATATCCACGTTTTCTTATATATTTTACAAAAAGTACCAAGTCACAGTCTACTGTTCACAAACAAGAGCAGGGACGAGTGATTGTTTAGTCAAATCTATATTTCTTTAGAATTTCAGTTACCCAGAAAACCAAGCTCGTTATACTTTCTTTTTATTTACTCAGTTCGCTATGTAAATTTCATTAAGGAAATGATAAAAGGCAGGGTATTGCGCGCTATCGTTTCGCTGTAGTGTAATACCTTCCAAGGTTGATATTCTGATCAATTATACACAGGTATGGCTTTATAAGAACGTACATCTTCTTTTTTCCGTTTTGCTTTTAGCCCATTTCTCTTTGAGTGGGGAGGTGAAAGGAATGTCAGTGGGGAGGTGAAAGGAATGTCAGGCACATACAAAACACTCGAGCGACGTTCCTCAACAATCTGTTTCAGTAGACAATGAGTTAGCTTTACCCATTTATTACTGAAGCTTAGGGGCTATTATGAGGCTGATCGTTGTGTTTCTAACTCGCTAATCCCGCCAATTAAGGGATTAAGTTTGTCAAAAGGGCCTAGGTCTTGACATAACTCTCTGACAGGGGTCACGGTTCACATAAAATGTGTACTTGGCTTAAACTTTTTCAAAAATTTGAGATGATTTAGCAAAAATAAAATACACGTAAAATGACCGTTGACACAAAGACATCAGCAAGTGGGGTGTTTTGGCTTAGTTGAAGGGTGCTTGTATCAAATATGTGTAAAATTGGAACAATGGCTTTTGAACAAAGGGATGATTTAAGCGCATGACTTGAATGTTTTTTGTTAATATTTTTTGCAACGTTTGTGTGTTTCATTGCGACGTCTTAATGTAGTTGACACGCTTGGCGTGGTGTTGAATGTATACGAGAAAACTCATGACAGCATGTGTCTGACACTCTCCTTAATATGATGGGTAAATATGTCGACCAACCCGAGTCCACCCTTCCCACAAGCGTCGGCCATCTTGGATCTGACCCGGCAAGGTCGGCCATTTTGTACGGATGAAAGGCCTACGTGTGTCAAAATATAGACCCTAGGAGAGTTTGGTGTCAAATAAAAACATATCAAACCAAAAGCTTGTATAGTTTATGATGTCTTTATTTAGATCTGATATTAAATTGATTTATATTTTGGTCATTCAAAGTTAATTATGGAGGTTCGCGAAGTTTAAATGTTTTTGGCCCTGATTGTGGTTGTTTTGAAACTTGTGAAAAAACCGTCAGGGACAATGATGTCTTGTGACATTTTATTTGTCTCGTGTAGGTTTAATCCTGGCAATACTCTCAGGTTCTTGGCTACGTCGGATATGATTGTGTGTTTGCCGTTTAACGCCGCACTCAGCAATGTTCCAGCTATATGGCGGCGGTCTGTAGATAATCGAGTCTGGACCAGACAATCCAGTGAACAAGAGCATGAGCATCGATCTACGCAACTGGGATACAGTGACATGTGTATATAGCGTGACCCGTGACACTGGCACCGGGTGAGTGACATGGAGACATATGCACTTGACAATCCATATTTCTTACAACAAAACAGTTTGTTTTTCATGCCTTTAACTACTTTTTGTTTCGTCTGGGTTTTTGCTTAACGCCGCCGCGCTCACCAATATTCCAGCCATATGGCGGCGGTCTGTAAAAAAATCCCGGAGTTGATAATCCAGTAATCAACAGCATGAGCATCGATCTACGCAATTTGGATACAGTGACATGTGTCAACCAAGTCAATGAGCCTGACCACCCGATTCCGCTAATCGCCCCTTACGACAAGCATTGGTTGCTGAAGATTTTAACCCGGATATTCACGGGTGTATCGGATATGAACGCAGAGATGTAGGTTCAACGCTACGGAGACGGGCACCAGACTCCAGATGGTATTTGTTAACTGGTAGTAACTGTTCATTGATAATGTGCGGCGTTTTGTTTGGATTTAACGTCAATAACGTTGATAACTGATATTCCCGCTTATGATCGATTCNGGGTGACAGGCAGGGTCTGAACTGATACTGGATTTGTAATGTCTGATAATGATCAGATTCTGGACTCCTCAAATTGTTGTCTGATACGAATCTGTTACTGGACTAATCGTGTCTGATACGAATCTGTTGTTGGATTGTCTGAAACTAATCTGATCTGTAACTGGACGTCATGTGTCTGATTTGTTATTGGTCTTGACGTGTCTGATACCGACTTGCCATGCCTTACAAGAATCTGGAAACTTTTGTTTCGATCTTGTAGGGCTGCGCAATATAACCGGCTTACCGGTATTTACCGGTTCAGACATGAAAACGATACGTATTGCGATACGCTGATCGAAAACCGGTATTTTGACTTGCATTCGGAAAACTTCGTAGCACACAGAAATCTTCGGATATGTCCTTGTTTCATTTGTGCCAAATATTATTCATATTTTTATTTTATCAGGATTAAATGTTGTTATTAAAGCTTAATCAAACCTAGTGATTTGGTTGTGTGTTTGCTCTATAAATCAAGAATTAACTCGATTATAAGTAGTTTCTTGTTTAAAAATACTTCATACAATATATTGCAATACATATCGCAATACATGATTTCGCATCGCAATATATCGCAATATAAAACTTCTCTGCAATACCAACCCCTACGATCTGGCCATATCAGACATCAGTCTGGTACTTATCGATACTGACCAGGCAACCTTTCAAATTTTGTTCATATTTGATCTGAATCAGGTAATACATTTTAGACATCATTTCAGGCGTTGAGTTTAATCGATTGAGTAAAAACAAATTGCAACAAGACTACTAACCACAAAGAAATGTTTTCATCACTTAGATTCGCAGACACCGCCATCTGACCCTTGATAACCAATCGGGATCCCCCAAGGGACAACTCACCTGTGTATGGGCAGCCAAGGAGGCCAACTCTCATACTGATCTTCCCGTGCCATTCCATTGGATGGAACCTCACAAACCGGGACACGAACGGCGAGTTGAGGAAGTGAGTCCTGTCTGTGTTTTTGTCAGAGTTGCCCCCAAACAGCTGTTTAAAAGCAAAACAGATCAACTTTTATGACAAGCTTCGAGGCTACTACACATGAAATGGTGACGTCACTACGTGACCTACGCTGTCGTGAAGGTGCGCCATCTACATCCTGGCTAGCCATGCCTACGGGTGACATCACCACATGCCGCGGACACCGACCCACGACTCATGACGATGGTGCCAGGGGGGTGACAAACGTGTGGTGGTGGGGGGAACAGGAAGAGCAGGAAATCACGTGGACAGTCACGTGCCGCAGGGGGTTGTGGGTTGTGATGTGTGCTGGGATGGAGGCTTGCAGTCAGTCCGATCTGTTGTGTTGTGTTGAGTACAGAGGTGTTAATTCAAATAAGTGGGCTGCATGCATGCATTTTACAAGTGAGTGAAAACGTTAGCTCGTTAATGTGAAAGTGTTTCGTGAGTGATCAGTGGAAGTGATAGAGTCTGAAGAATAAGAGTCAGACGCATTGTTAGAGTTATCTCCCTTGATAAACTGAACAGTTATAAAAATGAACTTTTTGCACATTTTTGCATTTAAAATGAAGCACATCTTCCTGAATTGCCCACTAACCTGTATCAAAGCTTGTTTGATATAGGCCAGTGAACATTATAAATAAACTTCTTGTTTTGATGTAAATATCACACGCTTAAAAGGGAGATAACTCTGTTCAAACATCTGAAAGCGCTCTTCAGGGTGGAGAGAACAACATGCAATGAGTATTCAGATGAAATCAACTCATGCTATTAAATCAAGGCACACATGCATAACATCAAACTATTAAAAGTGAAGATGGTGCTGTTTGCAATACAACATGCATATTTTATGTCAAATGGCATTGACGTAGAAAGACTCAATGCAGAAAACAAGCAGATTATAATAAAAGGTATTTCATTCAAAGTAATTAATATCTTAATGCATAACTCAATTAAGAAAGCTCGTTACATCAGAAAGAGCAGGCTTTTAGATCAACAACATCAAGAGTACGTTAAGCGTAACACAGGCCACCCACGTCACATCCTGGCTTCGTTCTCTGTACGACCTACGAATTTGTAAAACAGTAAACAAATGAAAAATATAAGTGAAAAAAAAATAGTTAAACACTCCTTATCCTCGTTCCAAATACACAGAATCCTGATCATGCACTTGTTAAAGAGATCGTGAAGATAAAACGAAAATGGACACTTTTTGAAATTTTGGCCGAAGTGTGTTGCCATACACGATGCATATCTAAAAATAGATTGGAGTTCACTACAAGACATATAAACCATGCCACGAACATGCCCACGAGATACCATTCCACGGAAAACACGACTAGCTATCGCTATAACTATTGTCAAAAAAAGGAATATTTTTAGCTTTAAAAATGTCGCAAAGTATCCTACGCTTGTCATAAAGAATGAAGTATAAAACGTACAAAGAACAACATGGCTTTGCCATTTATTTACAAGACCTGCATGATCTTCTGTTACTCAAGTTACGCCTCTTGATGCATTTGATTTATAACAGTGTTACAGTTAATGTAAACAAGTTTGTTACTGTTGAAATCATTGTACGGAAGCCCGTTTTAGCCACAACGAGAGGCCAGGATGTCGGGTATCGGTTCACACCGGGCCCCTTAGTTAGTGCTTACCAGGCCTTCCTCCGAGTATTTGTCAGGGATTAAATGCGAAGTAGATGTATTAGACGGTGGACTCCACAACCATCGACTCTACAAAATGAAGGTTGAGAGCGGTTAATCACGGAAGAAGTAGTAGTAGTTGCATAATCCTCCTCGACGGCACGTACACTGGTACTTCCGGTGGGACGTACTCAGTACTTCCGGTAGACGTACACAGTACTTCCGGTGGCACACCAATTGTCGGGAACCTGGACACTACGAAAAGGGAGGTAATCCTAGCTGGAAGAGTACATCCGGGCGATGGTGAACAAAACTGTTTGTGTTGAAGTAAGTTTGGTTAAAAACCTGGAAAAGCATTGGGACGCTACATTCTTAACTTGGTTCAGGCATGCGCAGTCACACACTTTCAAACACTAGTCTTGAGTGTTTTAGAAAATGGAGGAGCGCCTACAGGCTTTAGTGGATTCCAAGATGGCAAATTGGGTTAATAATCTACCTAATAAGGCATGTAGAAGAATTCGATGACGTCGTGATGATAATGATGATGGATGATGGTGACTAAGATTAAAATAATGTCTACATAATGTAACTTCATCACACGTTTTCTCGCACATTCACGCACTTCCATCACGTGACCCCACCCACCCAATGGACTCTGAAAGAAATAGATTATTGGTTTATTTAAGCAGTGGCAAGTATTCTATGTGGCGATAGGTATGACTCCTACAGAATTTGTTCAGGTTAAGCTCGTGCTGTCTACATAATGCGTGTCGTCATCAGAAGCTCTACTCTTAAAGTAACCTGTGTTTAGTCGTCAGTGGATAGTATACTGAATTGGCTCGCTATAGCTGCACAACGCTGTAATGGAACTGAAACGGAGGTTAGAGAATGGAAAGAAAAGAATATATGACATGGAATATATTTGTGGCGGTCTGTCGGGGAATGTCATGTTAATAACAAACATATAGACAGATGAATAATATAAACACATTCTGTAAAGAAAGTGACAACTTTGTTGTATTCGCAGTCACAAAGCATGACATACGCTATTGCGTCTAGGGCTTAAGTGAAATTGTCGAGTTTGCAAATAACCTCTTGATAAAAACACATTATATCTCAGTGACATTACAAAAATTCTGAAATATTTTTTTTAAATTTCATCTTGCTAATTCAATATTTGCTTTAACAAATAGGTAAAGAAGTGTTTCACTTAGCTCAAACATGTCATGAGGTGCAAGAAGAACGCCTCTTTTGAAAGGAGCAGGTAGCCTTAGAGGCGTAGCACAATGAACTGAAGCATATGTTTTAACCGCGATCGGTGGTATTTGCCTAACGGCATATCATAGTAATATAGTGGCGTCCGTATACGTTGTACCAAAGACATACAAACATATGATTTTGATGGAAAACCGGCCTGTTACAGCATTGCGTGAGTTATCAATGCCACGAATCGCCGTACACAGAAATTAGTGCCTTGTGTTCAAGCTAGGAACTCCCATTGGATCTAATGAATAGTATCTATCACCTTGGGGAAATTCAACCTCAGGAATAAGTTCAGTTAATTGGCTCTAAGGACATGGCTATTGTCGTTATTGGCGAAATGAGGGTCAGTATAGTGGACTGATCACGTCGTATGACCCGTTGTATTGACCTGGGTCTATGGCCATGTGTACGTCTCTATACGTACAGTGTAAACAGCGAGTACTCGGAAAGAAACACGACTGTGTGTACATGGATCAGGTTTCCATACAGTTTAACAGGAGGGCTGGGTGGCGGGGCGGGGTCTCTGACACCAACACTAATACCTTGAATCGGTGACCACTTGTACTGGTGCATGTTCTCGAGAACCACTATGATATGACGATACTGGGGATGAACTTATTGCTGGACACACGACGGTGCAAAATAGCCGTTCAGTGGCTAAATATGAAATCTACTTCGCCAGTATTTAAATTTAAAATTACATTTATTTCAGTTTGATTCATCAGTATGTCAATATTTCTTTTTCATTACCATGACAAATTTGTTGAGCAAGCTGATTCTGAAATGTCAACATAGAAAAGCAGCTGTCTGCATATTTTAAAGTGGTCTTCGCGAGACGTCCCAAAAGTTAATCTTCATTGTAAACCAACATAATAACTTAAATCTGGCAATGAGGTGACGGTTCAACTCCTGGGAAGAATAAACTTGCCTGACTTAGAAAGATGGCTTGTGTTGGGCAATGATATGGTATTGCAATGACGTCATTATTGAAGAGTCTAAGTAAAAGAACTAGTTCAAGTTTTGACCTTGAGAAACAGAAGGATCAGATCGAAAATATCTGCTAATTGAAACGTTAACAGGACAGAATAGATGTCTTTTCAAAAGGATCACACATAAGGGTTATAAAGAAACACTACATCCGTATGATAGTTGAGTAGAAAACACAATCATTTCACTTTTTCATACCGTGGATCACTCAACACTCAAAGTCTCAGTTCAAATTCACGTAATTCCTCCTACCTTAGGGTCGAGGTGGTCAGCGTCTTTGTAGAAGTACCACACCGTTGTGTCGTTGCTGTAGGAGACCTTAAACCTTTCTACCCAGTGACTCCTCTTCGTGTCTCCCCTTCCCTTGGTGATGACCCCTGTTACCAAGGTCGGAGGACCGACGTCCAGTTGAATCCATTGTTTGTCTGAAACGAACAAGACGCGTGTGATTAGGTTGATGATGTGTTCGGTTCTGATGCAACCATGGAAGCAATTGTGTTGGATGAATGCTACTTGATGTTTCAGTGAGTTTAATGTGGATATGTACTCATGCTATCCACCATTGGTGCACCAACTTGCACCAGACAACAGATAGGACGTTGTGATAGAAAATGTACTCAGGGCATAGCGTAACTCCACTCATTTAATTCTTCGTGAGTGCAATATGGTGCCTGTAAACATCCGGGTTAGAAATGGTCTTCATCAACCCATGCTTATCGTGAAAGGGGATCGGGTGGTCATGTTCGCTGACATGGTTGATGCCAATCAACCCCCATTGTAGGATCGATGCTCATGATGTCAGTCACTAGGTTGTCTAGTCCAGATCATTTACAGGCTGCCGTCATATAGCTGTAACATTATTGCAACCGAAGTATAGTCTATGAGTTGTGTAACTCACTCACTCAAAACGAATATACCCGAGTGATTTTTTGACTTTGTAAAGCAGTGGTTTAAAATACAAGTGATCAACTGTTCAACCAAGACAATTTAGAGCGTTATAGATGGGAAACGTATGCAAGCGGCAGGGTGTGTGTGTGTGTGTGTGTGTGTGTGTGTGTGTGTGTGTGTGTGTGTGTGTGTGTGTGTGTGTGTGTGTGTGTGGTGGTGGTGGTTTGTGTGTGTGTGGGATAGGAGCGGTCGAGCCCATGAAGGAAGCTCACGCATACATCTATCACCACGTCTCCGGGGACGGCGACTGGGTACACGACTCCTGACAGGCGTTGATGTCGTGTAGGGTTGTAGCCCATATCCTCTCAAGACACAGGGGTCATAAATGATGACTCTTGTCCCAATCTCGGAGCAATAAAATCACAGGAAGGACAGTCCCACCATTAAACGCTTAAAGCCCGGTGGCCATTTTAAATAATATTTTCGATACAACACATAGTTTTAAACTGATTAAATAAACAGTGTCAAAATAACACAAGCGTGTGCATATTGTGGTTACTGTAACATATTTCAACACTGAGAGCTCGCGGGTTAATCCAGGTTGGAAAATGCGAGATGTTTGGTATTCATGTTGTCAAGTTGCGATAAAAACACGCGTTGCAAACTCAGTCATGCGGGAAGTACGATGTAATAATGGCGGATCAACGTGGTTGAAGTGTGAGACCTGTCGGCGAGGAGACACGCCCAACATGCCACGGAGGACGAAGTTGGTGCCGCAGAGCATGATGGAACATGCAACAATGACGCTATTGTTCTTTGGTAGGTTGATGGAAGTCGCGGCCGACTAAAGACAACGAGATTGCTGCATTTACATTCATAGCGGACAAAAGGTTAAGCTCACCTAGGTGTGCTCGCTATCCACACATTTACATTGTTTGATGTGTTGCTCGGTGCTCATGCACTCTGCATTTCTGCATGCAGGGTCTGGCGTGCAACCTCGTTGACCTTCGCTAGCAACTATATCGGAGGGGTGGCCTAGAGGTCAAAGCGTTCGATCGTCACTAGTTCTATTCCGGGTTCTAGGACCGTGTATGATCTCTTCACATGATTGTATGAACAGTGCTAAACGGCGTAAAACAACGCTCACACGTGTTTCAAGGTTTACAAACTAAGCATTTTCTTTGGTATTTATAAAACGGCGGTTCTCAACACAACCAAACTCAGTCACAGTCCTCTTTCAATATCGGGAAGGTGGGGTGGCCTAGTGGTTAAATCGTTCACTCCTCACGTCGAAGACCCGGGTTTGATTCCCACCATGAGTACAATGTGTGAAGCCCATTTCTGGTGTCCCTCAACGTGATATTGCTGGAATATTGCTAAAAGCGGCCTAAAACTGAACTCACTCTTTCAATACCCCAACACATAACCCCTCCCCCGTTCTCTCCTAAACTCCCCCCTCCCCCCTTACACAGGTAGCGATTAGAATCTACGTTAAAATCCCCAGCATACCACAGACGGCTGAGACACACTTTCTTTCTGTAAACAACGGTGATGCATTGGTGGGCAGTAGAGCGGGACTCTACGGTGACTAAGGCCTACTCTCCAGATATCCCATCTATAGAAAAGCACTGGCAACAAGCTCTGAGAGGCCAATATATCAAAGTGGTTACAATGCCTATATAGGAGCTCGCGGATGATAGTGACATTGGAAGCTGACATCGCGCATAAAAGAGTTTTGACTTTTAATATGTCAGGCATTCGAAGCGAAGGGCGTGGGAGCTGTACTCGGCAGCGACTATCAGAGCTTTCAGCTCTTTAGTAGATGCCAGATTAGGGCGACAAAGACGGTCACAGGGGAATTGCGCATAATTAATCTGGATAAATGTCCCGAATGACTAGTCCAGGGATTTGATCATGTTCTGATCACTGCTGCGTGACCAAACAGCGTGTATTGTAAATAAATATCCAGGCATATTTGCAGTGCCGAGCCGTGTGTCGAATTAAATGAAGTGCTTCTGTTCATATTTATATACCTATGCTAAACCCGTGTAATTTATCAGTTGAAAGGCAAATGGATCATTTGTGGTAAATATGTGTTTGTGGGAGTAGGAAAACATTGGTATTGGCGGTTTGGTTATCGTTACCACCATGTATACCATGAGCCTTGACTTAACAATGGGCACCTCTCGTTGGGATTGTTCGGCTGTTTTCGCTGAATCATCCGTACAAGTCGCGGTCTCCACGACATATGAATACAAAGCATAGATATCAGTTTCGTGAAAGTATTTGTTTCTGTAGCTCTGGGTGGATCGAAGGTCTGTACCTGTCACTGATACCATGAGAACAAAGTGCTGGAGTTCGTGAGTGAGTTGAATTTTATTCTGCTTTTCATACCCTCTACACAAATTCAGGGATACTAAAAAGGGTTCAAAATTGAACTGATAATGGGAAATCGAACCCGGGTCTTTGGCGTGACGAACGAACACTTAGACCACTAGGCTCATCACTGGGTGGTGGATGAGACTGATTGAGAGTTGCTTTACGCGCAGCGACGCAGCTATGATTATTGGGGGTATTGAAAGACGGGGTTGGGGGGTGGGGGTGTGTGTGTCGAGCATAGGACTTCGACGTGGAGACTTAACGCTGAAACCCTCTGCGAAGATTGAACGAAGACACCTTACATCCATATATCTGCTTATTCTTATGAAATGTTATTTTAAAATGTCATTCTGACTACCAAACACATCTCTCTAGTTAAAGATATCAGCTGTGCTGTAGTACAGTTTAAAGGACATACAACTTCAACAACATCAGGCTTGCTGACTTGGTTGACACATGTCATCGGTTCCCCATTACGCAGATCGATGCTCATGCTGTTGATCACTGGATTGTCTGACCCAGTAGGCTGGAATATTGCTGAGTGAGGCGTAAAACTAAACTCACTCACTCATTGTTATAATCAGAACTTGATTCTCGTGTTAACACCTAACCCTAACGTGTTGATCTCGTGGACACAAATACAATACAATTAACAGCCTTGACACATCCAAACCTATATATTTCACTCAAACTACGTTAAACCACACCTGATTCTTGTCAAGGGATGACAAATTACCATAGTAACGTGAAGGAATCGGGCGTGTTCTTCAACCTCCTTTGAGATGTATACAATACAATACAATTTAGAACCTTGACACTTGAAACTTTGGCAAACACGTTCACACTGCAAGACTTTGGCATCACCCAGTGTTTACTCTAGTTCCAAGAACGTGCATCAGACCTCGTAGTAAATTCCACAACGTGGACGTCGACGGAGACCACGCGGCAGCCTTGGCCGACTCTCAGCAAGGTAACTGAGTACACCTTTACATTTAAACAGAAAACACGCGTTTGCCCCAGAACGCTGGCAACGCTGGTTTAACATGAAGATCCTGTCTGTTTATGATACCATATAACATTGGATTACGCTGTGACGGCGATGAAAGATGGGTACGTCGATGATGACGCCGCGACCTGGGAATACATCAACAGCACGCTGAAGCTAGATCTCGTCGGAGGCTTTGGAATTTGACAAAACACTACCGGTAAAACGTGTTGGTATTCCACATCAAGTAGACGTTAAACATGTTTGGATGTTATATTGCATTAAGTTAGTTTACACGGGATTGGTGGGTCCAATAAATATTAGCCCTAATCGCGGGGGTATCAGTGGAGTCAGAAGAAAGTGTCTGGAACAAGGCCCCTAAAGTAGAAATGTCAATACGAGGCGTTAAAGGTGTCGCAAAGTTACATCTCAAACAATCCCTGTAAACAAAGGAGGATTAAGAGGTGTGAGGGCGAGTCGTTTTATAACAGCTTTGATTCTTTCAGTCAGGTTTTTAATTCCGCAGTAAGCTTAATTGTTTCTATTTTTATTATTTATTTCGCCTGCTTTGAATATAAGATTACTGGGGATGATGCGCGTTTGCTACGTGGAGTATCTTCATGAAATATTTCGGGAATGATAGCAGAACTATTTCTGAACTAGGTGTACGTTGTCTCCCAACAAGTTTATTGGCGGGTTATTAACTCTTTGTATAGAAATAGCTTATATGAAAATACAGCATAATTCAAAATAGTTGGCTTCCGAGGAGGTTTATGATACAGTCAACACTCGGAGCCTGTTTAAGTAGTAATAACATTGGTCCAAGTAGATCTCCTTGTAGATTATACCAGTGATGTGGCAATACACCGTGTAGCTAGCATCGCGTAGCCTTTCACAATGTAATCCCTCTCAATTATTTACCCTCTGGAATGAGGTAGCGACAATGGTTCCCAACAGATGAATTTAGACTAAGGAGTGTCCACGAGAGGGCGCCATTGGGCAATTTTTCATCGCTCATTTTCGTCAATAGGTGACAAGGTGTCATTGTTCCCGTGACTCTTATTGGGGGTAACGTCTCGAGTTACGATCCCCTTTAGTCCTTACATCGTCATCTTTCAAATATCTCGTGAAGTGGAAATTGTCCAACCATTTAAATATATTTGGGGAATATAAGTGGGCATGCTAGGTAAATATATGAGATGCTGGACAATGATAGGCGGCCGCATTATTAGGTTTATGATCTAAACTGATACCTGATACCAGAACAGCTTCAAAATAGGAACGAATGACCCACATTGCTCATGGAAGATGTGGATTGTAGATGACAAATATACCTCGAAAAGATGTGATGAGTGAGTATGGTTTTACGCCGCTTTTAGCACTATTCCAGCAATATCACGACAGGGGACACCAGAAATGGGCTTCACACATTGTACCCAGGATTGTAGATGACAAACAGACCTCGTAAATATGTGATTATGGTATGGATGGGTATGACATGGACCCCAAATAAGACATGGATTCGTAAGATATGGAATCGAATCTACAAAATATATGGACCTTGATTAAGATATGGATAGGTAATTGGTGGGCGGTGATTAAGACTCAGTCTTCAAAAAATGAACTCCGAAAACAGTAAGGAGCCTACATGAGTAATAGTCAAATAATAGAAACATTACTTGTATTAGAAAGTAATAGAAAGATTTGGACCGGATTAGTGAATGGTCCCTACTAAGATATAGACCATGACCAACAAACGAGGATGAGTCATCCCGTGTGGAACATCCTCATCCAGGACGGTTCCATTCACCGACTGGGGGTGAAGGCAGTAGCATAAAAGCGAATGATAGCTTCATATTGTCTCCTTTGAGACGAAAACGACATCAGTTTGAAAGCATAAAATGGGTACAAAACCTATACAATTAACATTCTTGTCTGCTAAAGGCAGGTTAACAATGAACGTAATAAAGCAATGCCATGCTATATATGGATGCTATTTAAACAGTCATTATTTTCATTTCATTTTGACAGTACAATGTCCCCTTTGTTAAAACGCCATATAGTAGAAGAAACATCGTTTCGAGTTATTGCGGGGGCGGTTTGATATAATGTGAGTTTCTATTCATTTGATAAAAAATATTCTGGAAAATACCACATATTTATTTTATGATATAAAACTCTCTCGCGAGTTGATACTGCAAATATCATCGGGGCGGTGAAGGGTTACCGCGATTCCTGTCTTTATTTATTTGACTCTTCCAGAAACGTGGTATTTAAGCATTATGGGTTATTGGGTAGTGCATGTTTATCGTTAAAGAGTCTGTTGCCTCCAGCTTACCGTTCTGCTGCTTGGCGCACCACGCCTTCTTGCTGAATATATTCCCATCCTCAGGTTGGCAGGAGCTCTTCTTCCGAAACTTCCGGCTGGAGGATGAGGTTATCTTCCCGTAAGGTGGCAGACCGATTGATTCCTTGCACACTGTAACAGATCAAGCGTCAGAGTATACTGTCTGAATTTAGATCTGTCTATCTTACAGTCTATGATTTTACAATGGTCCAGTATTCTATAGCATTCTAGGATAGTGATACATACTGATTGGTAGGTTAGGGTTAAGGAAGTTGGTAGGTTGTTTGTTTGTCGCCGCACTCAGCAATATTCCAGGTATAAGGCGGCGGTCTGTAAATAATCGAGTCTGGGCCAGATAATCCAGTGATCAACAGCATGAGCATCGATCTACGTAATTAGGATACGATGTCATGCGTCAACCAATTCAGCGAGCCTGACCACCTGATCCCGTAAGTCGCCTCTTACGACAAGCATGGGTTGCTGAAGATCAGTTCTAAGCCGGATCTTCACGGGTGTTAAGGATGTCGATGACATTCACCCTTTTATGACCGATATATCGAATATCATCAAGGATGTCGATAATATTCGATATATTGGTCACAAAAAGGTGCAGTGAAGTGGGGTTTAACTATACGTTTCATATTGTTATAGGGTCGTGCATACACGTATGTGGTGCTGTTTTTACTCGTCCGGACTTCAATCTCCGGCCGTGTCATACGAAAACGTTTAAAGGTACTTGTTGTTGCCCTGCCTGGCGCTCTGCATTTAGGTGAGGTGAGGTGGGGTGGGGTGAGGTGGGGTGAGGTGTGATTGGGTGAGGTGTGGTGTGGTGAGGTGTGGTGAGGTGAAATTTGGTTTTACGTCGTGCATGAGAATATTTCGCTCATATGAAGACGTGCATGCGTGTGTGTGTGTGTATGTGCGGCTGCTTGTACTAGCCCAGACTTAAGCTGGTTTTATAGTGCTAGCCCACTGAGATACCATGCCGCAGTGAAGCATGAATACCCCACTCAGACACATTATACTGACTCCGAGCCGACCAGTCCTTGTTGTACCCATTAATGCCGAGCGCCAGGCAGGGACCAACAAGTACCATATTTTAACGTCTTTTGGTATGACGCGGTCGGGGATCGAACCCGCGACCTTCCGCTCTCCGGGCGGACGCTCTAACCACTACACCACGGAGGCGATCTCTGCATTCAGGCATCGAAGTTGGCTCTGTATTTGTGCATTGTGTCTGAGTGGGAGTCCTTGTTACACTGTGTGGAATGGTGTATCAAACCGAGCTAGTACAAGCAGACAGGCACACGCACACGCACACGCACGAACAGACACACGTTCATGCAGGTCCCAAAATCTTGAACACAACGTTTAACCCCATTTCACGTCACCCCACCCCCTCACCAACTTGGGATGGCCGCCATTTTAACTGGATCCGCTGATCTCTTTCACGAGAAATACTATTACCCTAAAAACAAATTGTTTTGAAACCTTGACAAATATTTCCATGTTACACTCTCCTTAACGACAAGGTCCAGGTTGTTCACCTCGCGGATACAACGACAACCCGCGAGATCCATCATCTCGCGAGAATGTCAACCTGCGCAGGAAGAATGAAGCACAGGTATAATTAACAACGATACACCTGTACGGCAGACAATGACGCATGGCCCCGCTTCGTCTACCTGGGAAAACATACAGGTAAGTATCCCCTATATACATCTTGACCACTGCTGCAGAGGCAGGGGGTATCTTGATGGAAGGCGTTCTTTATTATATCTAAATGGCCGCATTCTTGGAGTTACTGCTAGCGTGGGACCGTGAAAAAAGGGGAGATAACTCAGCTTGGGTATCAGCCGCCTGTTGACCGAATGCATCAGTTTAATAAGAGACATTTGCTTGAGTCGAACACTGGTATTCTGTGTCGACGAAAACAACAACAGAAGCCATTACCCTCAACCTGGGTGAGTGAGTGAGTTCAGTTTTGCGCAGCCTTTAGCAATATTCCAGCAATATCTTGGTGGGGAACACCAGACATGGGCTTCAAACATTGTACCCATGTGGGGAATCGAACCCGGGTCTACGGCGGGACTATTACTAGCCCTAGAACGCAACTATAATACAGTATCTAATATATCGCCATCGAATAACGTTGTTTGTTTCAATTTCGTACACCATTCGAGTAAAATGTTTCGTTTAGAAGATCAGTCCAAAAATATATAAAAAGCCAAGGGTCTTAAACATAAGTTTTCAAACATTCCTTTGGAACCGCAAGCTATTGTTGATATATAAATATGTTAAATCCCAGGCCGATATTGTACTGTTACTGTGGCATGCAAATAAAGTCGTCGTCTATAGTACATATAACACTTATCCATTTTTTCAAACTCATGCCAACACATTGTTTACCTATCTCATGAAAAAAATCCGCGTATGAGAAAATCTATGAGCACTTATGATATGGAGAATGATTTGCTAGCATTATGCCCTACAAGCGAGTCTATAGGCCCTATTTAACCCGCATGCCTCAACCATCAAACGGCGATATCAAAATAATGCGTCCCCACTTCCGCATACAGTGTGAGGGCTATGGAGTTTCAAGTATATTTATTTAAACCATTTAAGAAATGTCTGGGTATGCGATCATGTAGAAACTGCTAGAAACTCAATACCCTCTCCAAATACGTTCAAACTGTGGCCTTACCTTGTTCCAGAACGAGAGAACTTAAACTATTTAACCCCGTATCATGATGCTATCTCCAGCGACCATTAAACACCAATCACCGTGTTGGCCTTTCACTGACTAGACGGGCATATGGTCTCATGATCCCCTGGGTTTCAAATCCCACTTTTCAATTTCCACTCACTGCTCTTGAAATATGCCGCTGGAGTAGATTATGTGTTTACATAAACGAGTTGAGATATTCACATAACCTATTTTAGTTTTAACAAGTGCCGGGCGTAGCTTCGTCGAACGTTTATCGTCTTGAAATGTGTGTGTATCTGAAGTTTAATGTCGTTTGCATTTGTGGTTGAAGTGTTGAAACGTGGTTAAGGAAAGGCACTCGCAAGAGGTGGGTAATTAAACAGCAGTCCCGTCATATGGAAGTGAAATTGAAAATGTATACAATCATATAAGAGCATAGCTGAGTTGGACAGTTCTTAGAGGCGAGGGGGCATTTAGTATACACTACTGCTCGAAACAAACGTCCCGTCGATAGCGAATGAGACGCGAACGTTTCGCGACGCTGTCGCGGTGGTGCGGATATTTTACGCTATTAGTCAAGCGATCAGATCGCGGCCATTACGCGAAATGTTCGCGAATGGACAGAATTGTATCTGCATTGTACCTACTCACAGCTTATATGGTCAATGCATGGTTTGTCATGTGCATAATTCTATTAATATATTTTATTCCTGACAAATGAGCACAAGGCTTTGCATAGGCGGATCCAGGAGATGTGTGTGTGTGTGTGTGTGTGTGTGTGTGTGTGTGTGTGTGTGTGTGTGTGTGTGTGTGTGTGTGTGTGTGTGTGTGTTTCCCTGAAAGATAATTACTGACCACTGACACTCTCGTGAAAACGGGTGAAAATGAACTGTGCACCCCTCTGCCCTTTCTCAATTAGCTGTGTCCCCTTCTTTGATTTTAAACCATTAGTATTAGAGTTGTGTCAATTTATACATTTATACAAACTCTACTCTATGATATGACTTTTCCTATAATTTCCAACATTTCCTGCTAAATAACCTTCGGTCCCAATCTCTGAATATTTAACACATTTCGGATAAGCCAAAATGATATTTTCACGTGGCTGGGATTATCCACAGTTCAGCGGAACTGACACCCCCACGAACAGTCCAGATATCACGTAGTTCCGGGTGTGATTAACGACGTAAGGTTTATATTACATACTCTCATGTTGATACACTGCATACACAATAGTTCAGAGGTCACCTTAAGGTGAGAAAGGTCATGAATCAACTTCACTGAAAGAAAGTGTCCAAAATGACAAAAAAGGGGAAGGTTGGCACTGCTACGACCATTCTTGGTCGGTGTCTATCCCTAGAATGTACGAGACACACAATACCGTAATAGAACCTGCGTATTCCAAATATGTAAATTCGGAATGAAAACCTACCCTCACAATGGCCAAAAACATTTGTTGTCTTCCCCGGGGGGTCGGGCCAGCGTAAAAGATACATACCTGCGGTAACATCTTTAATCATGGCTATTATTCAAGGGATTATCACTCCAAATTAACATTGTGTTTTGTTCAGGCTGAGCGATGAGATAGATCAAGAAGGTCCGAGATAAAACATTGGCTGAAGCCGCCCGCCACCAGATGTTGGCTGAAGAATCATTCTGTGAGCAGGCATGCTACTTGTAAAGCTTTCAGGATCAAACACCCATATATACTACGAGTCCGCGTCAACACGAGAGATTGCACTTGGTATATACTAGTAAAGCTCTTTCAGCCTACGCAGTACGTTCTACTGTTGTATAAGTAGGGTCGCGTTGTGAAGGTATGGCATTTGACAATACTCGATTTTCAACTTGTGCACACATTCGTAAATTAAAACACGTTTTATAGTAACAATAAGTGCATTCATAATGCGCAAAATTCTAGGTGAATGCTCATAGCGCTAACTAAAGACCACTGGTATTTAGAAAGTTTGTAATTGGGGGCAAGGTTAGGCTGTGGTTAAGAGTGGATAAACAGGTAGGTTTCAAAGTCCTTTTGAAAGTTCAGAGATATTCACATTTTTTCAAGTCAGCAGGCAGTTTATTCCACAATGTTCCTGCATTGAAGGAAATGGATCGTTTCATTCATTTTTGTTCTTAGATGCATTTTGTATTAGTTGGTCAATTTAAATTTTTGTGTGTGATAATTTTCAGATGGTCTAATGGTCAAAAGTAAGTAAGTATACACCATATGTTTGATAGTTGCTCCAGCTGAAACAAACACATTAATTCAGTGGTGGTGTTATTGATACTATTGGGTGTAAGCTTCAGATTTGCTGCCTAGTAACGTTATGATAACGACTGTAATTTTTGGTCGACTCATGATTTAATAGTGAGTACTTTCATTTGCCCGGTAGTGTATTATTCTGACAGAATTAGGGTAGTGACTAGTAAGGTCACTTTTATCGACAACCCGTGGCTCTGGTCTTAGATATACAAAGTATAAACAGGGCAATCTTTCATACCTATCTCCAATATACTATTCATGTTTATTGGAATCTGTTAAAACGGACTCTGACTAATCCGGATTTCTTTCAACACCGGACCACTTTTACGGTGCCGAATTAAAAACGATAAAAGGTTTCTTTTAGCTCTGTGTGTGTGCGTGCGTGCGTGTGTGTGTGTGAAATGATTTTCTATTCCTTTATTCAGTGTAATAAGTCACTTCGACAAAAGTTCGGTTTAGACAGATTCCACTGTATTTGGTGACGGTGTGACATGTATATTATTACGAGTATGAGAATATACTTACATTGACATCCCATTATCTCCACTCTCATGCTAGGGTGCCTGTGCCAATGAACTGTATGGAATTTAACGAAGCGAGCGATGATTGGCTTATCCAGGTAGGAATGCTTCACAGAAAAGGAATCAGTGTTTCCCTCAAAGATCTGGAAAAAAGTCGTACATACGAAAATAAACAAACAGTAAATTTTCCTGGTTGATAATAAACACAACGATATTCTGCGAGCGAGTAATCGTAAACATAAGACTGGTTTTTAACGCCAGGGCCCACATGCACAAAGCGATCTTAACTCTAAAGAAGATTGCAACTCTCACACTGTATCATAGACTTAAGGCGGCTGTAGCGCTGAGACTTCTTTGTGCGACTGAGCCCAGTTTAATAATGGAAGGGAGACAAGATGGAGATCAGACAATGAGATGTCTGAGAGTTTGGGACATCACTGGATCGTGCCAATAACAAGGGGGACAACTCCACACACCGGGAGACACCAGAATTTAGCTCTATTGTACCCATGTCGGGAATCGAACCCGGACCGGCGAGAAGTAAACTCATTAACAAGTAGGCTACCCACCGCAGCAATTTGTCTCAAACACATTTCTATTGCAGTGAGTCTGTATCTCCACATGTGCGTCATTCTATCTATTACATAATATTCACAAAATGCGAGTGCTTGTGTGTACAGGGGGTGCGTTCCTGATTCTAGTTCCGGTCTTAAACGCTGCCGAATTTAGAAAAGGAAACGGGGGTGTAGAGAACTTTGATCTTTCTACATAACACAGCACAATTCCTGTTATGTAATACTATAATTATGACTTCTGTGATATTTTCGAGTGTTGATAAGATCTGTCAAGTGTACTAAGTGCATAAGCGTGCCAAGCTTCCTGCCTTGAATACACGTCCATTGAAGCTTTGCCCGTTAAAAACAACTGTTGTGAATAAAAAAACAGGAAACTAGTCAAAACGGAATTTTATTGACGCCGGTGGGAAACAAAAAGACTCTACATCCGGACAAAAAATATATTTAACTTGAATTACATTTTTTAGTTGATTTTTAAAAATAATTTAAACGTTAAACTTTCGATTTTCTGTGAATTTGTACTCAAAGCACAGCCGATTGTATAAGATTGGCTTTGGTCAGGAGCCTCAGTGAATGACTGCCGTCACTGCCTGAGATCACACACAACCAGGATGTTGGGTAGCCTTGTGGTTAAAGTGTTCGCTCGTCACGCTGAAGATCCGGGTTCGATTTCCCACTTGGGTACAATGTATGAAGCCCATTTCTGGTGTCTGCGTCGTGATATTGCTGAAATATTGCTCAGAGCGGCGTAAAACTAAACTCATTACTCTCATGTTTGTGCATGTCCTGAAACTTTAAACCCCAATCAAACCTCTTCTCTAACCTCTTCTCTTACGACATTCGGACAAGCATGGCGTACGCTGTGTATATGGCGGAATCCCCATGAATCCCCGCCGTTAAAAAATATCTAGGTCATTTCAACAAACGTAAAATCGAATGAAAAACAGGCAGTCCTTTTTCCCAGTGAATGTTCTGTGAAACATATCGCCATAAGAATATACGGGTTCATTACGGATGCAGCTATTCCGGGTATGTCTCAAGGCATAACGCTCGACCGGCCTCCACACAGAGACGATCAAGCTTGTATCGCATACACCCGCTACCCGTTCTAAGGATACCATTCTTTGGGTCTCACAAACCTTGCAAATTGGCTTACAGTCCTATTTCAAAGGTGCTTTTCCAGCACTGCTAATGATTGGCAAGTCTTGGAGGGCTTATATCCAGAGCTTTTATGATTAGAGAGCGATGACCTATGAAACTAGACGATCTATATGAAAACAAGTAATCTACAACCCTTTATAAAAACTCACCAGTGCTTATGCACAAATCATATTCATCAAAATATTTCAATACATTTTAATAACGTCATTGTTGGATTGGCACATTAGGTTTTTAAGGGTTACTCTTATTTTGATCTGTATTGCTTTCGGCGGTACGTTACTTACAGTGAATTAAAGTTTACGACATAATTCGCCATGGTATCTTGGAGGCGTTTTATTTCTTGTAATAAAGGTACTTACTGCTGTTTTGCCAAAACGCCTCCTACTTTGAAGAACACAAATTAACACAAGCGAGGCTATTTCGGAATTGTGTTTCTGAAGTATTTCCTATATATCGACCCACACAAGCGTTAAACTAAGTCATGTTTTCTTATTGCTTTCAAAGGGAGGGGTGTAAAGTGATGATAGCGTTCTTATGGAAGACTAGTCGTAGGTATGATAGTATTCTGTACAAAGAGGGTGGATACGGTGTTGCTAGGTTGTCGTTAAAGACGTTATGATCGGGATCAAGAGTGGGGACAAATGCTCCTGTTGAAGAACATTCTACAGCGTTAAGCTCTCACGATCATTTCTATGTCTGTTGTGTATATTCGTGGGTAGTTGTGGCTGACAGATTTACCGTCATTGACAACCGTGGGATTAATATCATAATAGTGAGTATATATATCATTGCAGTTTGTATATATATATATACATACATACATACATGCAGTTTGGTCAAATATGTGGAAACAAATGGGGTGTTGCCGTACGTGTTTTGTAATGAATGTCAGTTTGTGATCGATCTTCGTTAATATTTGTTTGTTTGTTTGTTTTAACGCCGCACTCAGAAATATTCCAGCTATATGGTAGCGGTCTGTAAATAATCGAGTGTGGACCAGTCAACACAGTGATCAAATTCATGAGCGATCACTGGGATACAAAGACATGAGAAGCCAGCGAGTCTGACCATCCGATCCCGTTAGCCGTCTCTTACGACAAGCATGGGTTGCTGAAGACCAATTCTAACCCTAACCTCCTAGTTGATAAGTTATCCCCCCTGTTCTGATATATACTGCTTAAAAGATGCGACAAATTCTTTCGTCTCATTAAAGGGCGATTGGGAAGTTTAATGGTGTTTTTCGTCCGATCGTTACTAGGACGGCCCAAGTTCGATTTTCGAAATGGGTACAACCAAAATCAATGAGAAGGATTAATATGTGTTATGGTATAAATGTCTTACCCTTTGGTTGCCATAGTTATCTGTGACGTAGTTCCAATGGAAGGCGTCCATGCTGAATGACACCATGAATGACGTCACCCATTCCAGACCATCACCACGTCCTTGGGTCATCACTCCCGTTACCTAGCAACGGAAAAATTGCGTTAAGTATTGAACTTCAAAATCAATAACAACAAAAGGCATACGTGTATTTTAACGAAGTTTATCAAAGAATTTTAAATGAACAATCTCACAGTCGTTGCCGAAAAGAGTATAAGATAAAAAACCCAAAGAGTTTTTTTAGCTGATGCAAAACAAATTGTGCTGAGTGTTCGTTAACTGTCGACATGTGCTAACATAAAACATATTAAACGTCTTGAAGAGATTAAAACAAAGTGTCAAAAAGTGTTTAAAATTCCAGACACCTTTCACGAGTTTCCGCGCACGCTTACATTTAAATTTAACCTACATTAACGCGAGACATTGTACACGGAAAGCCAACATGTAACACAACTTAAACTCCTGCTTTGAAAAATGATCCTTCTATAATGTCGTACAAGATGCCAGAGAACGTGTCTCCGCCCATTTAATATATGGCCTGTCTCTCCTAAGCACAACACACAGAGACGAAACAACATGCATCGTGGCCGTCGGGGGCGGTGGTGTAGCCTTGTGGTTAAAGTGTACGCTTGTCACGCCGAAGACCCAGGTTCGATTCCCCACATGGGTACGATGTGTGAAGCCCATTTCTGGTGCCCCCCGCCGAGATATTGCTGGAATATTGCTAAAAGCGGCGTAAAACAAAACTCACTCACTCCAAGCACAACATACACTATACACACACTTATTTCTTAGTGTCAATTCTTGAATGTTCACAAATTATTATTTTTGTTTCAAGTTCTCGAAAATGTGTGTGCTTTTACATTAAAATTAGTTACTGTACACATGCAAAGGTTAAGGAGTTTGAAAAACCAATATATGTCCAAACATCTAGTGAGTGGGATAGAATGTGAATGAGTGTGGTGGTGGTATTTTTGGCTGTTTAAAGAGGCACTAAGCATTATTTCGAGTATATGATCGCGTTCTGTAAATAACCGAGTCTGGACCAGACAGCCCAGTGACTGATATTCTGAACATTATTCTATACAACCGGGAATTAACCAGTCTGATCTCCCGACTCTACTGGTCGCCTTTTGAAATTAAGCAGTGCCTGGTGACATTAGAGAAATCAATCTGAACAGCCGACCCAATAGACAAATACAAATTTGAACGTTTTCAATCCTTTTTGCTGGGAAGGCAATTAAAAGGTTCACCTTGAAATTGTTAATTTGGCAAACTCGTAAAACTGAAGAACTAAAAACTCATTAACTATTTAGATTAGGACTTTAATCTTAAAGGCATACATTAAACGACAGTACATCAGTGAACACGGACGAGAAATTAAATTTCCCTTTGTGTGAGAATGTAGCATTGTGTTGGTACTGAACTTCGCCTCGTCGTCCGAATACATATCTGCACCGTCAGCATGAAGCGACTGAAACGTGGCACCAATGGTGGATTAGAAAACCATGACCACTTGCTAACATCTGTCTCCTTCTACACATCGCACGTCTGAAAGATTAATTCCCTTCCCTTTTGAGAAATCGGTCTGGTCTTAATTATGGGTTTCAATTACGCCCGACAACTCAACAATATGCCAACCATTTGAGAAGTTGTCAGGAAAGTATGACTCTTAACTCGTATACTATTTCCGTATTCGCGAACGACTACTTATCATCAATCTTGTTCTCTATTGTTCGGATGTTAGTAAAATATTCTGAATCTGGACATTTGACCCTTCATGGTATGGCGACGACAAACCTTTGATTTATAGTTTTTCATGTTATTGTCATCAACAAAAGGAATGCAGGTTGTGTCACAATAACCCAAGCATTTAATTGTGTACATTATACCTATTAACAAGAAAACATGAACAATGGAGTGATAGGAACAATGTCATGTGTATTAGTATGGAATGCGTCAAATTTCTATCCTGAAACTCAAAATATACTGTAGAAAAAAGGAACTGTCGTTTTCACGGAAACACTCGATATGTTATGAATGTAACCCGATCACTCCCGAAGTGAATTCAGTGATATCGATGTCACTGTTTCGCTGACTAATGGCAAAAGTGCAATCCCTATAATCTTCGTGTTTCTGTAGAGAGAACACAATATACATGTAGCCAGTTTGGGTTTTTAAGCACGAAGCGACGACCAAGCAGCCAACGGGTCACGTGACAATGCGTCAGTTTAGGGGGTATGAGGACCACTTTCGTGAGAACAGGTTTGTAATTTACCTGAGAAATATAGTAATACAGAAGGGAATAAACTCGAGCAAGGCGCTACCTATCCTCGAAGTACTATCGCTTCAAGAAGGGACGATGTTGAGGCGAATGAGATCATTGCTCAACAGTTTTTCTCTTCCATGCACCAAATGATGTCACTTGCGTTAATGGCTGCCTTGAAGGCCACTGCTCCCGTCAGGGGAGATAACCCACAATCACCGCAAGGCCACATGGCTTGTCTCTGTGTATTCTGAAGTATTCCTGCATATTCTTTCTGTTAATCTTCATCAACGAAATCGGATTCTGAGATTAACACAAACGTTTATATCGATACGTTACCATGCCAATCAGTCGTAACACTCTGGTCTGTTAAGAATTTACCGAAAGGCGATTCGCTAACAACTTGAACATTTGGTTCGTGTCTTTCCGTAGCCAATAAGAAGGGTCATTTGACTTGTTCCGGAATGACACGAATTAGCCAGAAATGCACTCACTCTACACGTTGTTGTATTCGGACTTTAGCTAGGTATCTCTATGACGTTCGTTCCTTACACGGAAATATTTGCAATGCTTCATCTCGTTAGTTAAAAACCTCTTGATAATTTTTACATTTCGCACATAAAACCTCAGTGGTCAAACTCTGACACAGGGTGTGCATCACTCAATGTATTGTTCAACACTAAAATGTGTTCTGAGCTTGTATAACCTTTAAAATGCACAGTTTACGTAAGATTTAAAAATACAAGGGGGTGTTTACTCCAAGTATCCAATAACAAGACAACATTCACCAAAAGCCATGTGACCTTGTTCTGAGCAGCCAATGCAATTATAACGCACAACTTCTAATAAACAAGCCATTTAAGAGCAATCCAAAAGAAGCCTTCAAAAATACGAAATTGCCCGGATAGTTATTTATGCATGTCACATGAAGTGTTAAAAGAGCATTCCGTCGTCTTGAAGCCGAGTTATTCGTGAGCGTACTTTGATGTTAAAGCTGAAATCATTTGACCTAAACGTTAAAAGTTTAAAAAATAATAAACATACAAACAATTTTCAAACATTAATTCTGCAGCTTAGTTGTAGTTTTGTATTGCGGGAACTTTTTAGTCAGATATATTTCTGCATACAAGCCATTTGACTGATATTACGCTTTTGAGTGTTTACAAAATTATACAAGCATATTCAGCACCGCATTCTATATTTACCTGACCTTCGTGTTACGGTGGGCGTAAGGTGATACACGGGCATTAGGAAACTGGGGCCGACAGATTAATGTGGAACTCAGGGGCTTTGAAAATATTCAACGAGGCAGGTAAAATTAAACAAGCATGTGTTAATCCGCACAGCAGCACTATGTTGTACAACGAACGCGCGGATGGATATGTAAAATTTTGGCAGCGATATGGGACAAAAAAGAAGATCAGGTGACCACTTCAAAGAAACCGCATTGCAGGCGGTTATCCAAGTATATAGCACTTAAACTTGTCTAGAAAGCATCAGGTGCACTTTGCGTTGTATTTCTTTATGTAAACTTCTCGAAATGAAGCCAAATGCAGGCTAAGTTACCGACGGTCTTTTTTTCTCAAAAACAAGGGTTTTGAAACAAAAGTCAGCCAAAATGTATTTTAAAACGGCTGTATTGTACTTTTTAAGAAAATATAAAACTTTATGGATAAGCTTGGTTAATTGCATTTAACTGCGTTTCGAAGAAGATCGATAATGGTGTGAGCCAAAAGCCATACGCTCAAGGTGTTATATATGTAGCTGTCTGTTTTCCTGTCTCCTCAAACAAAGCTTCAACTCCGTCTATGATATTACTTCAGGCTGTGGTAAATGACACGTTCTTGATCGTGTTGTATTTAAACTGCGGGCCCTAAACTGCTCTAATTGACTGTTCGTCATTTGTGAGGGGACGGTATTTAGCCAGGTGTCAAACCAATCAGACCTGCCACGACCGATGTAAACGAACCCTTTGCGCAGCGCCATTGAGAATCTTGCTCGTGCGACATATCATTAAATGTACCTAACTCTGGGGTAAACAAACGCATTGACAAAGACGGCTTGTCAGGAATGTGAGGCTGAGGTTAAAAGAAAAAACACATTTTACAGCCCCACATCAACGCGTACGACAACAACATGGTACAGTTTGGACCAAACTGACTCGTTTATGAACCTAGGATGGTTATGATGGTCAAACTGACAAGGAACGCAGACAACTGAGTTTGGTTTTACGCCGCTTTTAGCAATATTCCAGCAATATCACGGCGGGGGACACCAGAAATGGGCTTCACACATTATGCCCATGTGGGGAATCGAACCCGGGTCTTCGGCGTGACGAGCCAACGCTTTAACCACTAGGCTACCCACCGCCTCGTATATCTACCACATGTTTGAGTAGACCGTCTGTCGTATTTACACAGAATCAATAGACAGCATTTCTTGAGTTAAAATACCCTCCTACCTGCACTCGACCCTGCTTGAGGAAAAGACCAAACCCTTTCAACTCATAGAGCAACCATTACAAATTTGATTTAGCCCTTTAAACTGGCAAACATTTACTATCTAGAAAGAAGTCTTTTTGCCAACTGTAGCGAGTTTAGATTTACGCCGCTTTTAGAAATATCCCTGCAATGTCATGACGGGGGACACCAGAAATATGATTCACATATTGTAGCCATGTTGGAATCGAACCCTTGGCTACGGCGTGAAGAGCGAACGCTTTAACCACTAGGCTACACCACCGCCCTTGCCAACTGTAAGGTTCCCCCAAAATATGAATGCTTAAAAACCGCAATATTCTATGTTATTCATGACTAGAATGTTGATTTAATTATTATCATCATCATCATCATCATCACCACTGATTACACCAGGATTCTTATTTTTTAACACACCCTACATCACGAGACAAGTGATTTTATCATTATTATTATTATTGTTGTTTATAGATTATACAACGATTCCTAATTTTGAACTCACCCTTGCCGCTACTCCCATGTCGACTTGCAGCCATTCCGATGATGACTTGTATTTGGCGCACCACCCGAGTTTGTTGGGAAGGTACACCCGTGCGTATTTCTCGTTACACCCTCGGTCCCACTCCTGCGGGTAGACGGAGGACGCGGATATCTGCCAGTCCTTGATGGTCCCCGTGATCATACCAAGTGGGCCATTAGTCGTGCACACTGAAACAAAAACATTCATGGTCAGCACTTAAACACCGAGAGTTTTGTATCATAATAAAATGCAAGGTCGGTGAATGTCAATTCCTCTTCCAGTTTCCACGCCATATTTTCCCACACCCATATCAGTGTTTCCGGATTTTAATTCCCAAGGGCAGGTAACTCTAAACATGTTGACACCGCTTTGCGACATGTTTTTGTAAGTACCCATGAACACCGATCTGCGCTCTGTGAGCGATGATTCCATAATTAATATATCTCAACGTTATGCTTATCTTTATCTGGTGCCCGAGAATGGTTATATATATTGTTGTACCTAACCCTTTCCGTCCCCGCCATTTTGTTACTGGACACCTGACATGGGTACAATGTGTGAAGCCCATTTCTGGTGTCCCCCGCCGTGATATTGCTGGAATATTGCTAAAAACGGCCTAAACTAAACTCACTCACTCACTGTTATAGTTACTCCGTTCCGTACCTAACAGTAACACTTTTACATTGAACTTTACAACACGTGGATTATAGTTTATGATACACTACCGGACAAAAACGTATACACCTGTGGTTGACGGTAGCTAAAATACAACCAATAGGAAATGGTTATTTCATAGTGATACAGATATCATAGTTATGTTTTGGCATTGCGCTTGCCGCTGATCCTTCAGTCTGGTTACGTTTCTTTTGCCCGTCAGTATATTACGATTCGGACCTTGACCAACATTTGACAGACATGAGTCCCAGACATCACAGGTCTTCATTCAACCATTGTTGACCCTCTAGCATCGTCTCAGCGGGTCTCAGTTATCAAAGGATCTCCCCAAGCCTTGGGTTTCCGAAATTTAGAGAAAAAAAATAATATAATAGCACTGTCCGTATTCTCAACTGAAATACAGTCAGCATTGCTTAATCCAAGTCACAACACTCTCGCTATCTGATTTCAGTGGTATTGTTATACATCGTAGAAGTAATGGCGGCAGTTAGAGCAAGGGGCTATAAATAGTATCAAGTTACAAGAATAATAGAACTGCCGATTCATGGACATCGAATGTTTGAATACATATGCGAATGTCGTAACGACTACTATTATTGAAATGAACACTTGGCGTTAAAGATCCACATGTCTTAAATAGAGATCTTTGTTACCATGGTTTATATGTTGATTAAGGTAGGACAATAAAACTGCAATTCATCTTCACATTGAGTTATTTTTACATCTTCTTGTTGTCGTAGACTATACGTAATACAAAGTCGCGTGATGTCTCGTTCCTTTTCGTGAATTCCTCGTGTGCATTTGTCCGACAACCGACAGCCAATATGATATGTTGATGGTGCGATATACGTCACGATCTGCCAGGTTTTAATCAATGTATTGTTTAAACGCGTAGGGCGAGAAGATTATCTGTTCTCTGATTCCGTAATCGCGATCTTCACTGCAGGAGGGATTAAAAACCCGAGAATTATGTCCCGTTTCTGACGGTGGTGATGTGAACGTCATCGCTGGTGTACATGTCGATGCGAGATTGAATTCGACGGGAAAATCAGATAGAGTTAAATAGCTGGTTTGAATGTCGACCTCATGGGTTGAAGTGATTGAAAATTATTTCAGTCGAGAAATGCTCACCTCCCTGTGGCGGCGCTGACACGGGAGACGTGGTGGTGAAATCATTGGATGCATAAGATAAATATGAACACAAGACCGGAACCGCCATGTCAGTAGGGACGTTGTTGTCCGTAATTGGATGTTTTGTCTACTTTGTGAAAACCCATACGACATTCAATAGCACTAGGACTTGAAAATATCCCAAAGTCCGAATTTCGACCCATTTCGCTGCGTACAATAGTCAACCAACGTAACCAAACTAACAAAGTCAAAATAACTGAAATATGTATTCAGCTCACGCAGACAACCCGATGACCGATCGCACTCCAATCCGATGGTGAATGAGTGAAGTTTTTCGCCGCCCTTAGGAGAGAATGAGTGAGTTTGGTTTTACGCCACCTTTAGCGATATTCCAGCAACATCAAAACGGAGGACACCAGAAATGGGCTTCACACACTGTACCCATGTGGGGAATCGAACCCGGGTCTTCGGCGTGGCGAGCGGAGGCTTTAACCACTAGGCTACCCCACCGCCACCGCCGTCTTTAGGAGTATTGATGGGACTATATACTCTCTCATACAGACACCAATGAACAAATATTTGACAAAATTCCAAAGCAGGAGCACAACGCTTTACCAATCCGGACTTCCTCGGTTCCAACAAATAAAAGATTCTCTGGGATTCTTTCTATAAAATGCAGACTCACTTACTAACTCCTACCAGACACCTTGTGATAAAACTGTGAAATATGACGAAATAGTGGCTAGAGAAGTGTAACGCGGTCTTAACCAACCCAACCGCGCGTTTACAGCAAACATAAGCACATCTTTACATTCTGCTAAGCCACTCCCCGAGAAAAGAGACCCAAACACGTGTTCAGAACGCAAACTAAGCAGGTATTGCTCCAGGACGAAGAGAAGCGTCTCTAGAAGATACCAGTGTCAGAGATTCTGTAAAATGTTCCTACCGATTTGAAGAGACTGTGTTCAAGGACAACGGAACAGCCAGTTAGTATGGTGTTAGTTATCGCCGCTTCGAAATGTATTCCCGTGTGTCAAGTAAAACGCCCATCATGAGGCAGGTTTTAGACCTTTACACTTCCACAACGAAGGTATGGAACCACGTATCATACTCAGGGCGGGTCTGGGATTCGAACCAAAGACCATAGGATCATTGCATGCTTAGGGAAAGCAAGTCTGCGAGGTGAATATGCGACGGCTTAGTCGACAAGCAGTCATCTTCCAGTGTGAATCAGTAGCAACAGACTGCTGTAGTCGAGTATAGTCGCCTGGCCTACGCGAGGTAAACACTAGGTGTTAGGCGAGGAACCTGACGTACATTTCTTACTTTGAAGGCTGTAACTAGTCACGGAAATCACACAAAACTTAATGAAATTTGTACACCTGGATTTCGGAGGTGTGATTGAGGAATCGTTAATTGTGCATGTAATGCCCGCACCTCTGAGTTCTACCCAGTCAACCCTCGCGAGCTGCACAAAGCGGGTCTATTCAACAACAGTAACCAATACATAAACGAGGGCCTTGTTTTCTCTTGAAACACGAGACAGATCCCAGCCAACCATCGTGATTCAGCAAGTAATAAAAGTCATTCGACTCCTCTTAAATTTTACGGGTACAAATTCTGCGAATTCTTTACAACATTTCAGTTCAGTCTTACAGAGGACTCTAATTTTGTCCAAGGACAGAACGAGATGGAGGTGTATGTGCAACAATCAGAGGTCACTAGTCAAATACACCTTCCAAGGGTATCGTGAGACTGGTGATGACCAACGCTGTGTACTTTGTAACCAGACATTAAAACACAAGTGGCTCATCTAGATACGGGTATCGAATTGTCTTATATTTGATACCGTGTGTTATCACTAAATACTCCCCTTGTATATTTTTTCACTATCTGCTAATCCTTCGGGATATTACCCGATGGTGAAATCGAGATGTACATACAAACCTATCGAAACCCATGACGGACACCTGATCATATAGGATAAATCCTACACAGAAATAGTTTCTTAGGTTACCTCTGTATTGTACTTCTCTGAAGGATGAATAAGATTTTACGCCGCTTTTAGCTATTATTTTGCAAAATCACGACGGGGGTTGGGGGTGAGGGGTTGACTCCAGACATGGAGGTGGGGGTCGATCCCGGGTCTTCGGCGTGACGGGTGAACGCTTTAACCACTAGCCTACTCCGCTGACCCTGCTCTGAAGAGACTTTGAGATTTTTGTGCTTATAAATACGAGATGACGTCTTGACGCAAGGGCATTCTGGTACCACATAGACTCTTCACAGATCAAACCACACAGGCATCATAAATACCATAAATAATAATAATAATCATCATAAATAATCTTGGTCAGCATTTTCAGCCATCACATCCCCATCCTCTAGAAGCACAATTGGCTCATCTTCCCCATGCTGGATTGTATAACTTGAGATCGGAGGGCTACAATGATGCTTGCTGAGAGCCTCACCCTTTCTGTTAGTGTTAAGTTGACACAGTCTATAGACCATTCCTTCTATATTCACCCTCGTCCTCTCATAAAATAGTTTCTAAAACTGGGCGCCATGTACAGTTTTGACTATATCATAAGCATGCAATTTTTGAATTACTATCCATAATATCAAGTGCGCTCGAAAAGATCAGTCACAAACACACGCAAAGGCAAATCAAGTGCCTGCTCAAACCCCATTATTAATAGGCAGCTGTGCGATAACTTGAATATTGACTGGTTATCTTTTACTGATCATGGGTAGAGGGGTAACCTAGTGGTTAAAGCATTCGCTCGTCACGCCGAAGATACGGGTTCGATTACCCACAAGGGTACATTTGTGAATTTCTGGTGTCCCCGCCGTGATGTTGCTGGAATATTGTAAAAAGCGGATAAAACCAAACTCACTTATCAAACCCACGCCTTTTTCAGCTCAGTAACAAACGGTAGACAAATGCCGGGCGAAATTAACCGGGAATCGAACTCGGCAGGTCATTTTGGTTGTCCAGCACCCTGCCCGAAGAGCTGCTACACAAGAAGTACATCATGAAATATAACTCCGCATCACTGAGGTCTTTGCGGACTCCAGGAGATACTTCACAAGCCACAAGTGACTTAATACACTTTCGTAAACACGACACCTTGGGTCATCCCTACCATCTTCAACCGACATCCCATCGTCACACAAAACACCGTGCACGGTGTCACTGCTGATGTGCCTACCCAACCGGTAAATACCTTCCTCAGAACTCGAAACTACGAAATACCAACCGTCACTTAATGGACGCGGGCATCTAGGTCCCATATCTTCGTCTTTGTTGTCGAACGCTGCACCCTAAATATAACGTCTCATTTTCTGTACTGTTTGACATTCCTACATAAAGCATGCATCG